GGTGGTCTGTAGATGACCTAATGCTACCCTGAGCCATGCTAAGAAACACCGCTCTTCTAGATGTTTTTAGCAGCTGTTTATAAGTTCTGCTTCACCTTCTGTTTATCAGGGTGTGTTGGTGTATAAGGAGGTCTTTAGGTTGTTAATGTTTGAACACACTCCAACCTCAGGGTGACACACTGGCAGCGTTGAGAGGCACTTTATCAAGAGCCACATACTGTAGTTAGCAGCTCTTATGCAAGCCTGTGCAACATAATTGCAACACCTTTCACAGAGAGATTAACCTCAGGGGGTGAATAATGATGTCACTGGTGTATTTGGACCCATGTAGCCCATTTGAAGAAACAGGCGTTGGTGACTAATGGATAGGTTGATGGATAATGAAGATTAGCTGCACCATGTTGTTATTTGATGTTTCTCTTTTTATTATTATTGTATAGCTAATTGCTTCATTCAGAGGTGCCTGTGGGAGGAAGGTAAATCCCTACAGCGCAGTAAAACATACCTCCTTAAAGCTGTCTGGGGCTTTGTTTCAGGAACTGAACCAACTTGCCCACACAAAGGCTGCTGTCTTGGCATATTTCCACAGCCAAGGATGGATTCTGGCGCCTAAATGATATCTTTGTATGAATTTGAGTAAAGGTGTAGGGATAAGTTGTTTTTCTTTGTCCTACCCCCTCCCTAATAGTCCCTCAGGGACAAAACAAGCTGTGATAAACCAAATATTGATTGGATGTTATTTAAATAAATATAGGGTGCAAAAACGATAAACATCTATTTGATGACGTATGAAACCCAACTCCTGAAAATATCTGAATATGAATGGATATTGATGTAAAGCAACACTATAACTTTTAGCTACTAGAGGTGTTAGGCATTTAACTTCCAGGTTTAAAGCGACCGGTGCCACCGCTTTGTTTCCCTCAGCGCATTGGAAAGACAAAAACACATTCACTCACCAGGATTTTTTCAAAGCTTGCTGTCTGCTGTCACTGCTGGAGTGTTTTCACCCGCCTTCTTCTGGGAACCAATGATGACCTTAAGGGGGAACGCCATTTTTTTTTTTTACATTTGGCCACTTGATTTTACGTTATTACTTCATGTTCTACTCACCCATATGAGTTATGTGTCATTTGGAGCTGTTCTGAAGATATTCCGTTAGGTTATATCCAAGTAACGTCTTCCTATGGGCAACGACTTGAAGGCACAAACTAAACTGTTCATAATTTATTCTTTATGCCAGCATTCATACCATGTAGGCGAATCACTGTCCCCCAGACATCCGTGGTTACATTTTTTATATTTATATGTTTTAAAAACAAAGCGGCGCATGTATGACGTCATCACCCTTGCGCACATTTGTAAATAAGGAGGTAAATGTGCTTAAAAACACATTTTTTTGTGTGGACTTTGAGCTCATTGTAAGTCTGGGTATCGGCATAGTTCCACTGTAATTCTAAATGTTTCGGTGTGACCAGTGTCTGCTGAATTCTGGTATGCAGTAAGCCCAAAGATACGCTCATAAAAAATGTTACTTGATTTTCAGCATAACAGCCTATTAAGCAGAAATACATTGGTAAGAACTGATTCATCCATCCATTTCCCATCACGCTTATCCCTGCTGGGGTTGCGAGGGGTGCTGGTGCCTATCTCCAGCTGTCTACGGGCGAGAGGCGGGGTACACCCTGGACAGGTCGCCAATCCATCGCAGGGCAACACAGAGACAAACAGGACAAAAAGGAGAATTTAGAGAAGTCAATTAACCTAACAGTCATGTTTTTGGACTGTGTGAGGAAGCAGGGGTTTCCGGAGAGAACCCAAACATTCTCAGGAAGAACATGCAAACTCCATACAGAAAGACCCGGGGGATGGAACCCGAGACCTTCTTCCTGCAAGGCGGCAGTGCTACCCACTGCACCACTGAGCAGCCCCTGATGAGCATATTATGAATTGGGAATTTAATTTTGTATACAAAATGATAATAAAAATTGGCTAAGTGTTCCCCGGGAGCTGCAAGTGGCAGCCCCCTGCTCCCAAAGGGGATGGGTTAAATGCAGAGAGTGAATTTCGTTGTGCTGTACTTGTGACAGTGTAATGACAATAAAACACTGGGGGAAAAAAAGGTTTAAGTCTTTTTAGCTCAGTTAGCTCTTAGGTTATAGGGGAACTCTGTTGTAAAGTGGTGCTCTGTGTCATATGACTCATTGAGTGACGGAGCCGCTACATAATAACGCCATTAGTAACAGAGTTAATTTCTTTTTATTAAAACCTTAATCTAAGTGTTCACTTTTACAGATTGCTAACACCGTTATATTACTTGCAACCTTAAACCCTGAACACACCAAAGACGGTGTTGCATCCGATCAGACAGAAAATCATTTTGTGTTTCTGATCCCTATGAACTGAGGGATCAGCCTTCACCTTAACTTCATACATAACAAACATACTTTTGTTTCTTTTAACTCCTAATTTTCTTTATGAAATATGTCATTCAAATCTCTATAAATGCTTAAATGGTCTGTATGATTAAAATGCTCTATAAATGATTAAAAGAGAAGGGCAACGGAATAAAATAAAATTTCAATCTCAGCCCACTGGTGAGTTGTGCTGTTTTTAGAAGATGATGTGGACACCCCCATGTGGCCCCTGAGGGCGCACGGCGTTGTGTCCTTGGGCAAGAAGCTTCACCCACATTGCCTCCTGATTGCGTACTGCAGCCTAGCTTCTGTCACTGAGCCCCAGGGCAGCTGTGGCTACAATTTAGCTCCCCACCATTAGTGTGTGAGTTAATGACTGAATGTAGTGTACAGCTCCTTGGTCAAGTCTACCACCATTTAAATTTTAATGAGACTACACAGAAACTGAGGAGCAATTTTACGGGCCTGACGAGAGGAGAGGCACAATTCAAAGTAAAACGCATCAACTTTAGGAGAAAATACAATCAAAATACATTAATATTTCAGCTCTGGCATACCTCTGCTCTGGAGTTACTTCTCCAAATACCGCTAAGGTTCCACTTAAAGGGCAGATAAGACTTCTGCAAACGCACACATCAAATGTCGCTTTTGCTGGTATGCTTCTGCACTATTGGTCTGGAATTTCAAGGGACGCACAGTTTCCCGCCAAAGCGCAAGGGGAAGCCTATTCGAAAACTCGTGTGAACTTCAGCGGATTGTACTTCCGAACCTCCTCAATTAACCTTTCCTCATAGTTGCCCATTGTAGTTGTTCCTCGGTTTTTAAAAATGGCGCGCCCGGCTACCGAATCGAGAAGGACGACCACACAGACAGCCGGAAAGGCATACCAAGGACCAATCACAGCTGCTTTTTGTCTGCACACTTCCACTTGAGGTATGCGCGGGTGTCTGACCGTCCGATGCGTAGTCAGGATTTTTTACACAGAGACACATTTGAAGCTTGCAGAGGTTATGCGTCAGAAACATGAATTGGCCTTAAGAATAACCAGCGACACTAGTGGATAGTGGTAGTATTACACTGAGAGAAGTTCTGCTCAATTCAATTCCAGAACACTTTTTAATCCCAAAGGGAAATTAAATTCATGTGCATTTTATCAGTTGTTTAGATGTGACGCATTTGAATCAATTAAACCAGTTGATTATTAGTTAACCTCCCTATATGACAAAATTTTATTCAGTCTTGATGCAAACACTAGTCAAAGCATTAAAAGGGATTTGGTCTTCCTGCCATTCAACTAGGTGATATGGTTTTTAAAAGTCAACATTTGTACGCATATAAATGCCCCCTGTTTAATGTGTAGTTATTTTAGTGCGGCTCTGTCGGATTTACAGACATACAGAAAGATTCCTGCAACCTGGACGTTTTTAAAAAGCTTCCCTTAGAATCTGTGCCATTCTCAGAGAACTCAGCAGTTATTGTGGTTTCTGTTAACCACAAAACATGGCCTCAGACACATTTAGACTCAAGTCACTAACAATTGCCTTTGGAGTTGCATTTTTTATTGTATCTTAAGGCTAGATGTATGTCAGCAGTATGTCGTAATAAAGATGTAATAAAAGGTGCTTTAAATCTTTAGCCAGGGCATCATCCTGGTGATGTAAATGTGTGATGCAGCTTCAGGGTCTTCATTCTTCCCTTTCTGGAGGTGAGCGTGGCAGCGAGGAGCTGAGAGGGTATCTAGAATTGGCAGATTTTGAGAAACCTATGTATGGTATCACCCCCACCCCCCCCTTTCCCCCACGCTGAGTTATCGTTCTGCTCAGGAAGACCTCCTGCTGTGTGCAACGTGGCACTCCCCACTGAGTATAATTGTAAGTTTAATTAGGTTATCTGCTGAATTATGTGCTTTAAAATGGTTAAGAAGCAGAGAAAAGGACAGATCTCTGCAGAGCGGCGACAGAGTAATTAAGCATCCTTAACAAACCCCATGAAACCTGCAGATATTAAATAAATCTCCTTTCGTCCTTTACCTCCCTATTTCAACCATTTTTGTTTGCTGCATCATGTAGGCTTTTCTGCATCCCCATCCTCTTGTCTTTGGCCCTCTTGTTCCCATGGTTACACAGTGACCCCATCGATACGGATAAACGTTCAAGGATTTTCATCAACTGCACCTTCTTCATTCCAGATCTTTCTTGAGTCCTTTCCTTCTATCCTGTAGTTTTTCTATTTCTTATTTTTCCTCCATATCTGCAAAGGTCGGCTGCTGAGAGGCTCACAGGCTGGTTGTTATGGCAACCTTAAACAGGTAAACGTAGGTTGCAGAAGAGGGGATGAGAAAGGAGGGAAGGGGCGTAGAGGATGTGTTTGACTTCTGTAAACACTTGAGTTTCTTCTTCCTCAGATTTCAGGGTGTCTGTTGTTTCAAATGGTTGCAGATTATTGATAGGAAGCGGCTTCGCGCATTTTGCACAAACATTATCTTCCTCACAGTCCAGTAAACCAAAACCCTCTTTGCTTTTGCATGAAGTGGATTTATGCATTGCCTTTTGTTATCCTTCTGTCTCTCTCTCCATCCTCCAGCTATCGACCTGCTGTATGGGGGAATTTACTGCTTTATGTGCCAAGACTACATTTATGACAAAGAGATGGAGCAAATGTCCAAAGAGGAGCAGAGGAAATCCTGGAAAATGCAAGGTACTTCAGCACTGAACACAACCAGTCCATTAGTGAGAAACAGCTCGACTGATGCAGCTTTTTGAGCTGATGTTGATTATTTCCATATCAGTTTAAACGTCCCTAATATGTTCTGCTGATTTAGGTTTTTCTGGGGCAAATTTTTAAGGCCAATGTTGATTTCTTTCGCTGTTTACATTATAAAAAGGATAAAAGTAACATTTATTTAACTTCATATAGGCCAGATTGATCAGTGTAGCTCAGTTTGGATTCTCCACACTTTTCCTGCGGAAAGTGTTCGCAAAAGGAAAGACATTCGGTTAAATTCTTGGAGCTGATTGGGTAAATCACCAAGCAGCACTTTCCTGCCATGTCAAGCTTTTAGCCAATCGCAGCATCAGTAGCTGTTGTTTTGATCATTTTTGAAGTAAGGAATGGAGGATATTCTGCGTAAAATAGGCACAGCTCTGTTTTTTTTTTTTTGCCTCAGCAGAGGAGTGGTGGTCTAATGCAGAGGTCACGGATTAGCGGACCACGGTCCGGATCTGGACCCACCTGCTGGCTAATCCAGACCCAACCTGATTTTTAACATTTATAAATGTTGTCTGACGGCAGTGTCTAATTTCACTTGCACCGCTTCTCCTGTTAGTACGGTAAAGCCCTATGGCATCAGGCCACACCTGATTTAATTTAGCAATGAGCTGCTGTCAGTCTGGGTTGCTGCTGCTGCTACTTTTAGACACAGCAGGCAAACCTGTGGCAAGCCGGGCGATGGGAAAGAAGGAGAAGACGATGAGAAAAAGAGAGCAGAGAAAGTGTGGACTGCTGGAAGAACCGCAGTGAACTAGTGACAGAAAAGTGAAATGGTGCTCTAAGATGACCCTGCACATTTTGAGTATGTTTGACTCAACCTGCTGTTGTGAAGCAGGATTCTCCACCATTAAAAGAATCAAAAATAAATATGGATCCAGGCTCAAAATGAGCTCCTTGATATGTGCTTGAGAATGGCTTAGTCTCCATTCAAACCCAGGTTTAAAGCCTTGCAGGGCAGCATAAAGCCCACTGCTCTCATTAAGACAGAAAAAAGAAAGAAAAACGATCAGTTCAGGTGTTTTATAAAATATGTGAATCAGGAAATTGTCTATATACCAAACTGAGCGATTGTTGTTCTCTACTTCAGATTTTAAAATGGAAACATTTTCTATTTTTTTCATATTTTTCTATTTAAAGATTCAATGTATAACATGGATGCAGAAACACCTCCCACAGCTTCTCTGAGCAAGACCCTTAACCCCACACTGCTCTCTGAGCGCCCCATGGTGGCAGCCCACTGCTCCACAAGGGATGGGTTAAATGCAGTGGTACATTTCTCCAATGTGTGATCAATAAATTTATATTTTGATTATTAATAAATCTCATTTATTTACATAAACCTCAATAAATAAAACTACATTTTAGGAATGCAAGTGATTGATTAATGAATAAATCTAATGTTGAATGGTTTTATTGATCAATGGATTCATTGATAAGCATTTTCTTAAAATCCTCCTGTGTTAAGATAATCATTCCATAACACAAATAGCTAAATATAATTTTTACAGTACATAATTTTATCTATTAATAAATATTGATTGAACAAGCAAAAATTTTTTTATTTTTTGCACATTATTGAACTTATTTTTGTGATATAATAAAACAGATTGAGTGAGAGAGAGTGAATTTCGTTGCTTTGTACTTGTGACACTGTAATGACAATAAAGTTGAATTCTTCTTCCTCTTTAGTTTTGTGGTTGACATCATTTATGTCACTGCATTTCATCGGTACAAAACATTTCTGTATTTCTTTCAAGATGTATTATTGGGAGTTTGTAAATTCCCAAATCTCACGACAATTTATCTTGCAAGGGAAACATTTATCAGTTATAATGTGATGGTCTAGCTCAAAACAAAGCCATGTCTTAGAATGGCCTAGTCAAAGGCCAGAATTTAATACAATTGAGAATCTATACAAGATTTGAAATGTTCTTTTATTACATTCTCATGGTGGAAATTTGGCCAAATTTGAAATAATGAGTATGATAGTCTGTAGATTTGGAGCTAGTAGAGACGTAACACTGAAAGCTAGCACTAAAAATGAGGCTCCATGAGGTATTCACTGGTTTTAGTTTCTTTTCTGACTAAATGTGGATTTTATAGTTTCCCACAATGCTGTTGCGAGGAGTTATTCCAATAGGCCTCCCTCTATAAGTCCTAAAATAGAAACAAATTACTTATACATGCAAATTTTATTTAAACTCATTTCCATTTGTGCTGCAGGCATTGGGGAAAAGTATTCGACGTGGGAGCCCACCAAGAGGGAGCTGGAGCTGCTTCGCCACAATCCCAAGAGGAGGAGAATCACCTCCAACTGTACAATTGGTTGGTGCATCTGCGCTCCCAGAACTAATAGCTGTCAGGCATAAGCGTCGTTAGACCTATTTAAGGGTGGCTTCAGTCATCCTTTCTTTAGCATTAGCCACCCTATAATTATTTTGCGATTTAAAAAAAATATTTTTTTTTTCTGTATTTATTTTTTCCTCATATTTTCCCAAAACAAATGCAGTAAAGCACCGAATAAAAGCCATAAAGAAGACAAGTTAATCTGAACAATCATAGGCGTAACTTCCTTAAGGACTGGTGTGGACAGTCCCCACCAATCTTGACCGGTAGGGGGACATGTCCCCACCAATATTTTGTACACGTATTTTGCTTTCGGTGCTGTGTATATCTGATTAAAACCCCATTCATGCCGCTCCTCAGAAAGAAAATAAAAAAAGTTCTCCCCGCTGCTCACCGTCCACAAACCCCGACAAAAAAACTCAGAAAAAAGAATCTGTTGCCTCTCGCTTTCTGCCCATCACCCCCCTCCGCCCTCTCCCCATAACATTTGAATTGAAGATATCCGCGGGTGACGGGTCGGGTTCGGTAGTCATCGGGCGGGTGCGGGTTGGTAAAACTCGACCCATGCAGGTCTCTAAGCTACACTACATTCAGTATCGTTGCCATAGAAACAGACAACAGCACCAATATCAGAATTATACTAAAACACACACAAATAATTTCCCACATAAAAAGCAGGACTTTCAGTCCATTACAGTTTTCCGTTTTTAGAGGGTTGCTTATTTTGCGTTTATTAAGTGATGGCTGTGGTATATTAGCTTTCACTGCTATAAGCTTTCGCAGCAGTGATTGATTAATTTAAACACCTGCTCTACTGATGGTCTATCGGAGTTGGTGTTTAGGTTGAACATAAAGAACACCTTTTATTTGAAGCTTCTTGTAGCTACTGTTTTAATCCCGGCTTTACTTAAAACTTTTTCCTGACTTTGATAGTGTTGCCATTCAGTAGCAAGCACTGCGCCCCTTTTTCTTTTATATGTACACGTACATTTAATATTTAGCGTGTTATATTGACAACTCATGAGCAAGCTGCTTTTTGCAATCTAGCAGGAAGGTAAGGATAGGATCTTGCAGGTGTGACGTCACTCTGCAGGGGGTCCAAAGATAAAAGATTTAAACAATTTTGGCATTGGAATTTCAGATTTAAGGGAGTTAGAAAGTTCACTTAGTAAAAGTGCAAATAATAAATCTGATTACCGATTACTTTTAAGCTGGTTGAACATACTGCGACAGACTGGTGACCTGTCCAGGGTGATCCCACCTCTCACCCAGAACGTGGCTAGAGATTTGCACCAGCACCTCCTGATCCCACTGAGGGATAAGGTTAAAGAAAATGGATGGTTGAACATGGTCCGCTCTCCCAGATTCTATCAAATCAGTATTGATACCCTCAGGGGTGGATTTAGGAAATTTGGGGCCCTAGGCAAAGACAGGCAGGGGGCCCCCTGAGAAGTAAACCCATAAAACAGGCCCATTCTACAGATAGAGAAATGTTAATAGAATAGACATCCATTATTTGTTCTAGGTTTTGTCCCTCTCTTCTTGTCCCTTTTTCCTGTCTATTTATCAGCGTTCTGATGGCATTTTAGCCAAAGGATTTTTATCAAAAACATAATTAATGTGCACAAATAAGGATTAGTTGTATTAACTATACATGGAAACAGAGTTTTATGGGGCCCCCAGGAACTTGGGGCCCTAGGCAACTGCCTAGTATGGCCTAATGGTAAATCCCCCCCTGGATACCCTGCTGGTGGATGTTCTTGACAGAAAGACGGAGTTGCTTAATCATATTCTGCTTAAGGTCCCATAAGATCTTGTCTGAGTCCTGGTTTAAAAGTAAATTAATCTTAAAAAGTGACCCAAAATTGACTGTCAATAAATGTTCTACAAAATTGATATATTTATTTGACTTCTTTGATTTGTACTGTCTGTTTAGATTTATGTGATATTTTTTGCACAAAATATATAAGTGAATATTGTAACAGTTATGTTTTCAACTGTAAGCATTAAATTGATAAATGTTATTCACATTTTTTTGGCTTTATCCTTTCCAACAACAAAAAAAAAGGCGTCGCGCAGGGACCTCCCTTTCCTTATGAGCCGTCCCCACCAACTTTCAACACAAAGTTACACCCTTGTCTTAGACAACGCCTTAGCAGGTGCACTGAAAAAATTCGGCGCGCGCTACGCGCGCATTATCTTCAGGGGCTTAGCCACCCTTGTCTCATAAACCTAGAGACGCCCCTGCTGTCAGGGATTAGGAGCAGATTGCTGTCCTGATCAGCTCCTTGTCCGAGATGGATTGCAGATCAGCTGAGGAGGAGAGCCTAGATGTTTTATTTAAAGGCTTCCATTGGCTGTAAGCCCTGATGGATGGAGGCATTTTCCTGCTGCATTCAGATGATGAATTCCTAGATTAACTGTCTATTTGAGGCATTAGCTGATGTTTGGGCTGTAGTTGGTGCAGCATCAGTGAATGTTATGTAGCTGTGTGCAGCACTGACTGGTTCTGGCAAACCTTTTATCACCTTGTAGCAGCTTGCAGAGAAGTGCCCAGCGCCATTAACATCATTGGCACCGAGGAGGGGTTAGAATCCTGGCTGCTCATCAGACGGCCTCCTCCTCCTGATTTCCATCCTCTCATCGGGGAAAGTGCTTTGTCCTTCATCAGGGCAGATGGAAGCACCTCGCCCCCCTATTGTTGGCCTTATCCTTCCTGCAGAATAGCTCTACATGCTGAGACTTTGACTAGGCTGTTTTAACACAGGAAGATGGTTTTGGAGGTAATGATAAGCAGGGACTAAAGTATTCTGGCCTCTAGTGATTGCCCATGGGTAAAAAAAAATCACTAAAAAATAAATTGTCGGTAAATAAAAATAAAAAGAACACCGCTCTGAAACTAACAGTATTAGCCAATCAGAAGAAGAAGGGGGCGGGTCTTGGGAAAGCATACCGCCAGATAGATGGTGGTACAGTGCTGAAGGGAAAGTCAACTTGCGTCGTTTACGGCTCCGTTCAACGGAGAGACGTGTTAAAAGTCAAAAAATAAATAAATAAAACTTTTAGCTTGGACAAATGGAGAGAACCGAATTGCACGGACTTATTTACGCATCCATTGGCAAAAAGGTGCTACGCAAACATGAATTAGACGCCGGTCATCAAGCTGCTGTTCGTGCGGCCGCGCACACTACATGTTTGCCGGGAGCTGCGGCAACAGCTGATGTACCAGCGTCAATAACTGACCGTGTATGTGAGTTAGAAATAAGGATTTGTGCTTGACTGTGTTGAAAAACTGTTAATCTATTGATTACTATATTGATAGAAATGTTGCTTCTCATGAAGCAAATAGGAGATGGAATAAGAAAAATAATAATCCAGATGGTTTTATATCTTCTGTATAAACCTAAATTCTCTAACAGTAGATTCATTACAACAAACGGCTGTTCTCTCTCCTCTCTGTCGTGGCTGCTGTGTTTCTGCTCATCATGATGTTTGGTCTCAGTTTTCTCAAAGCTCTGAATTTTGATTTGGATTAATGACAAACAAGATTCATGTAATTTCCATTAGATGTCCTAGATTTCGTTCGTGGATCTCAGAGTTACAGAAGCCAAATGTAAAATCTGCAAAATGAGATGAATTATTACCGTTTCTCCATGCATCCAGTAAACACATTGAGGTTTGATCGTCTATCAGCCTGTGTTCAGTCAGGCAGGATCCTGTCAGTCCCTGGGGTTCATATAGAAAACAAGCATATTGAGAAGATTCAGTCTGTAGGAAAAATATCTGCTTCTATTCCAGCAGGCAGTGATGGGGAGCTTATTACAGGATAACAACATGGGCTTAGTGTAGAAACCTGTTTATGCTACTAAAAACGATAGTTACAAATATAGTTAATGCTGAGAAAGATCAGCATCCCTCAGCCACTATATGTTGAGATCCAGTTAAACCTTACTCTCCATTATGGGTTCTGCAGTTTTATCAGTCAATAGTTCATCCCCGCCTCCGTCAGACTGAACAGAACCAGCTGTCCCTAACTACTGACATGGCTAGTTTGAATGACCTCCGTCCAACTACATGGAGATGTTTCCACGTATGCTGTTTTTTAAATTAAGACTATATTTAGTAGCCTTATTTCTTTCTTTTTTTTTTTACAGATTTCGTTTCCTTACTTTGACTAAACATTTTTTCTGCAGGGATCAATAAATGTGATAGAATGCTAGAATTCTGATAAATGTGAAATTGAGTGGGACTGTTGCCTCCCACTGCTGTCTTTGATGTTTTACACCCAAATTTTAAGATTTTATTACTAGGACTGGGTAAAAAAAAAAAAAAATTTAATCGATTTTGGATCGGTTCCTTTACATTTTTGCAAAATGGATGTGCAGGGAATGAGATTGATTAGTTTTATAGTAACGCGCGTGACATTCACATTCAAATGAGCAGGTGTGTGCAAATGCCGACCAAAGTAACACACCGCTCAGCAAGCTGTCCCACTGAAGTCTGATGTCGGGAACCATTTTGGATTTAAAATAGATAAAGATAATGTGCTGGATATGTGACATCAAGGTGACTTCCTACTGCATTGATAATGAGTGGCGTCTCGCATCTCATGCTACAGACCACCAAGATGACTTCGAGCCAGACAGCTGAAAATTTGTTAATGCAAACATTAACAAACGGGGGCTGCAGTTGTTACAGACAACGCTGCAAATATGGTTTGTGCAGTGAAGATAATGCAGCTCATGCATGTCTGCTGTGTCCCCGCTGTTCACGTCTGCCTGCTCGTGTGAGGCTTCACTTCTTCTTAATTTTTCACAAACAAGTTTGCTCTTCCAAGACAGTTTTGTTCACATCTCAAGTTTAAACTGTCCGATTTACAAGTTTGCAGTTTGTGTTTAATACGAGTTAAAATCTAAAAGACATGAGTATTTTGAAACGCAGTTGAACCACTTTCATGATTGTAAAAACAGATCGAATCGAAATAAATCGATTTAGAACTGTATGAATCAAAATCTAATCGATTCAGGACTTTGGCGAAAATACCCAGCCCTATTTATTACATAACAAATTCTCACTTTTTAAAGAAACCTTACATGATGCGTATTCAATTATATAATAAAGCTTATTTATTTGAAATGTATAATCATAAGTTTTAGGTATTTAGAATGAATAAAGTATACTTATTCAAAAGTGATACTAATTAATGAGTGTATTTATTTCAATTCCTAAAGCTTGAAATTGCATGAAGAGACTCGATTATTATGGAATAAACAATAAAAACGTAAACCTCACAATTATGTATTTGAAATAAAAAGCATTATTATACAAACAAATCTGCATCATGTGTGTTTATATTATAGGTTTGTGTTAAAATGATCTAAAACTAAAAGTAAATGACACTTTTTTAATGTACCATAATAAAATTTTATAAATCTTAAAATTTGGGTGAAATATTTTTGTGATCTGTTGAGTTCTAGTCTGCAGGTTGCCTTTAATTCTTTGCCTTTGTGTTTAAATAGTAGCAGATCTAATCTGTGGGCCTCAGAGGGATGATAATCCCTCGGTTTTTCTCCCTCAGGGCTGCGTGGTCTGATCAACCTGGGCAACACTTGCTTCATGAATTGCATCGTCCAGGCGCTGACGCACACGCCGCTGCTACGGGACTTCTTCCTGTCCGACCGACACAAATGCGAGATGCAGAGCAACTCGTGTCTAGTGTGCGAGATGTCCCAACTCTTCCAGGAGGTGAATATCCTTCCTTTTTTCTCCTAGTGTCCTAACAGGGAAAGTTTGCTCTCATCTCCTCCGTTCTCCTCGCCCCCTCTAGTTCTACTCAGGCCACCGCTCCCCTCACATCCCGTTTCGCCTCCTGCACCTGGTGTGGACCCACGCCCGCCACTTAGCCGGCTACGAGCAGCAGGACGCTCACGAGTTCCTCATCGCGGCGTTGGACGTGCTGCACCGACACTGCAAAGGTGAAAACAGAGATGAGGGAGGAACGCGGTTCACAGGCTGACAGATCTGTCTTACTTTTGAGTGGGACGTTAAAGTTCACCTGGATGGCTTTTATAAAACATTTTATACGTCTCTGTGTCTCCGCAGATGACAACGGGAAGAAAGCCAACAACCCAAACCACTGTAACTGCATCATTGACCAAATCTTCACAGGGGGTCTGCAGTCTGACGTCACCTGCCAAGTGTGCCAGTAAGTGTGTGTTTGAGTCAAATGGCAAACCTCAGAACGAAAAGAGGAAGCTTTTTCTATTAAACTCTGGTTCTTGTCTGCTTGTGATCCACCCTGAGCTTCACTGTTGATCACTCCCACATCTGCATTTTGAGCTGCTTCACTGCAGCAGCATCAAGGCCGAAAGCCTTATGGTTGGTCTCTAGCTCCACCTGCTGGATCCATGCTACAATTGCAGCTTTGAACTCCTCCTTTCAAACATGTTTGTGTGTTTGAATATAAACGTATTCTTTATCATATAGGGTTTAAAAAAAGTTTGGGAAGCACGCTTGAGAAAAGAAAAAAAAAAACAGAAACTAAATTTAGATAAGGAATCCAGTCCTACCTTAAAGGTATCGTTGAGAATATTGTGTTTTTTTTCAGGGTGGATCATCAAAATCATTAAAAGCCATTAAATTATTATTTTTTAAATTAAGGTATTAATTGGCATTAAAATTCATTAAATGTGCTTATTGGTGCATTTAAAATGCTTTATTTAAAAAAAAGAATAAAAACGGATATATCAGATATAACTGCTAGATAGAACTGCTCCCAGTTCATAGTAAAGCTGCATGTTCGGAAAAGAAGCTGGAAAACGAGGAACTTGAGAAATGGCTGCAGCCTGTCCACTGTAAAGATGATATGATGATTTTGCCGTGTTATCTATATATATATATATATATATATACACTACCATTCAAAAGTTTTGGGTCACCCAAACAATTTTGTGTTTTCCTGAAAAGTCACACTTATTCACCACAATACTTTGTAAAATGAATAGAAAATAGAGTCAAGATATTGACAAGGTTAGAAATAATGATTTGTATCTGAAATAAGATTTTTTTTCCATCAAACTTTGCTTTCGTCAAAGAATCCTCCATTTGCAGTAATTACAGCATTGCAGACATTTGACATTCTAGCTGTTAATTTGTTGAGATAATCTGGAGAAATTGCCCCCCACGCTTCCAGAAGCAGCTCCCACAAGTTGGATTGGTTGGATGGGCACTTCTTGCGTACCATACGGTCAAGCTGCTCCCACAACAGCTCAATGGTCACAAAGCAACCCCAGACCATCACATTACCTCCACCATGCTTAACAGATGGCGTCAGGCATTCTTCCAGCATCTTTTCATTTGCCCTTGTCCATTAATGGACAAGGGCAAGATTGAGGTAAATGTGCTCGTAGCTCTGCTACAACAGCAGGATACGATCACCTCGTGAAGGCCGACTGTTTTACGATTCCTGATAAGGAGGTGGTCTTTCAGGACTGAAAGGACTGAAAAATTGGCCATAAAAATAAAAATCTTACATTGTTTGCCTTAAAATAGGAGGTATCATCGTGAAGTAGAAACCTTTATTTTTTTACAGTTATCATACAATGAAATACTCCATACAACATTGAAATCAAGGAACAAAAACTTTTTACAGGCCCAAGCATTTGTTTAACAAATAAAAGTACGGTATAAACGTTGTTAACTACTGTACTGTACTGTAAAATAATATAGTTATAAATAAATAAGTAATAATTTTAATCATCAATACGAAATGAAGGGTTAATATTGCGGGGATCATAATCGCCCCGCTGTGACGGATTGGAACGGGAGAAAATGAAAAATGATTATGAAAAAAAATACAAAGTACAGTAGGACAAATAGTGACTGACGTGTACAGTGCAGTATTTCACTGCTGTTCTGACGGAGCCGCTGCATCCTGATTGCTCTGTGGCGTTTTTTTCTTCTAAAGCCTGCGGTGAAGGTGTGTGTTTTGGAGAGAAGAACATAGTTATCGGTAGTTGTCGCTCTTTTTTCTTCTGGGCCAAAAGATCCTTATAAACCGACATGCCACCATTAACATGTTTGACAATAAAGTTTAACAATGCATGATGCAAATCCGTGAAGCAGCGAGATTGTGAAAAGTGAACCGCGTTATAGCGAGGGTTCACTGTAATAGGGTTTGCATTTGCTCTACTTTAATGCTTCTAGAATATATCCCCTGCGTTTTTCTTTTTTTATTTATACCCCTTTGATATGCAGCACTGATTAAAATTAATCTATTTCATTGTTTAGTATTGTCCTGATTTGATCCGGACATGTTTGAAAACGATTAGGGCTCCTTTGTTGATGCAGCAGGTCCACTCTGACCTCAGAGGAACAGATGATTGCTGCCATTAATTTGCAAAGACTAAAGAGGACTCTATCATTGTACAGTAACAGGGTCGCTAGAAGTCATTTTGAACAGGGGATTCTGTACATTTTTTTATTTTTTTTTGCAAAAAAAGACCTATGAGCCTATAGGCCTATTTAAAATGAAATAGATTGAGATTCACTACTTTATTGTCATATACACTTTAGTGTGCGCAACCGGGGTCTGTAACTCACAGACATCATTAATGACATTAATCAGTTCTCAGGTGAAGATATGCGCTATTAAAGGAGAATTCCGGTTTTTAACACTTTTAGCCCATTTTCTGTAGTGTCCAGGATGAATTCTCCTTTAATTAGACCGCACAATAAAACAATTTTCAGTGGCCAATTTGAAAAGCTGGCCTTCACAAAGGGGTTGTAAATTTGTCTCTAGGTATGACTTTTTTTCTGACTGCTTTCAGACAAACGAAACACAAAATATGACCGGTCCGCATAACGCAGCCACTGCCATCTAGCAAACAAAGCCGGTGCCACAGAACATGAGAACATTCCATTACCACAACACAGTGCAGGAAACTGGATGTTAGCTGTAAGGGCCTGTCTGATCTGTCTAATTTATTTCTTTCAGTGGTGTTTCAACGACCATTGATCCATTCTGGGACATCAGCCTGGACCTACCCGGATCATCCACGCCTTTCTGGCCCCTCAGCCCCGGAGGAGATGTTTCCACGTTAAACGGAGAGAGTCACACCACTGGAGCAACCACACTTATGGACTGTCTGCGCAGGTAACCAACACACCTGTTTCTCTACATCTATTAAACTGTCAGTAGCTCTTTGAATAAGTAAAATAACAAATAAAAACTCTTTAGGTTCACCAGACCGGAGCACCTGGGCAGCAGCGCTAAGATCAAGTGCAGCGGATGCCATAGTTACCAGGAGTCCACCAAGCAGCTAACCATGAAGAAGCTGCCCGTTGTGGCCTGCTTTCACCTAAAAGTAAAGCGACTAAATGTTGACCTTTTAAAAGGTTGTGATGACGACCCCAGCTGAGAGCTAACAATCCTTTGTCTGTGTGTTTGGGCAGAGGTTCGAACATTCAGCCAAACTGCGGAGGAAGATCACTACTTATGTCTCATTCCCACTGGAGCTGGACATGACTCCCTTCATGGCTTCTAGGTGAGCAGATATGAAAATAATTGGATCTGCAGCCTTTGGACAGAAGCTCAGCTGCTGTGCAGGAATTTAATCAAATTGTAGAGAAAACCAGAAGTTTGGATTTAACTTGTGCAGAAAAGAAACGGACTGAAGGCGTGAACAGTTCAATGTTTCACTATGTTACTGCTGCTAGTTTAACTACATTTTCCAGTAGCTTGACCGTAGCGTCGCTGCCTTATTTATCAAGTAACTTTCCAGTAGTGACGTTATTATTTTTATCAAGTAGCGACGTAGCGTCCACAAACGCTACAAAATCCAGGGCAAAACTAAGAAATGAAACCAGGTTTTCTATTTTTGAAACAACAATCGGAGTTATTCGTTGGACATTCATGCATGAGCCTCTATTCTGCCTCTCCTGTCTGTATCTATGAAACATGTGCATGCGCACTGCAGTGGAACTCAATGACTGACACACACAGACACACACAGCCACACACACAGGGTGGAGGAGGAACCAGGAGCAGAGCGCCTTATCTTCAGAGATTTTCAAACTTGTTGAACCCTCTGATAAAAAGTACGTGTTCAAATTTCGGTTCTTGGCCATAGAGAGCTCATGTCGCCAAGACTAGCCATTTGTTTTACATAGCCAAACACTCATTAAAACAGTCAACTGCAGTCAATTTTTTGAAATAAAAATAAGAAAAATATATCAGCTTTAACTTTATTGGCGCCTCTAATTTCCAGATAGTTAAATCTGATGTGTGCCACTAAGATATTCTCATTAGAGAGCAGTAGCCAAACTTAGATATTGTATTTTCATGGCCTAATTTACCAGACAGGTTGTTTACATATATCTGTTTTAAGGCTTATTTGCACAGATAAGATTTTTTAGGTATGGAGGAACAGCTCTCCCATTTGTAAAAATAAATACATAAATAAATACATGCTCAATAAATAAATAAACATTCAATTAATTACCCCCCAAAATACAATGAATAAATATGTTGGTAGACATTAAATTTTACAGTGAGACATACAGGTGCTGGTCATAAAATTAGAATATCATGAAAAAGTAGATTGATTTCAGTAATTCCATTTAAAAAGTGAAACTTGTATATTATATTCATACATTACATACAAACTCATATATTTCAGATGTTTATTTTGTTTAATTTTGATGATTACAAATGACAACAAATGAAAATCTCAAATTCATCATATCAGAAAATTAGAATATTGTGAAAAGGTTCAAAATTGATGGCCCCTGGTGCCACACTCTAATCAGCTAATTAACTCAAACCACCTGCAAAAGCCTTTAAATGGTCTTTCAGTCTAGTTCTATAGGCTACACAATCATGGGGAAGACTGCTGACTTGACAGTTGTCCAAAAGACGACCATCGACACCTTGCACAAGGAGGGCAAGACACAAAAGGTCATCGCTAAAGAGGCTGGCTGTTCACAGAGCTCAGTGTCCAAGCACATTAATAGAGAGGCGAAGGGAAGGAAAAGATGTGGTCGAAAAAAGTGTACAAGCAAGAGAGATAACCGCACCCTGGAGAGGATTGTGAAACAAAACCCCTTCAAAAATGTGGGGGAGATTCACAAAGAGTGGACTGCAGCTGGAGTGAGTGCTTCAAGAACCACCACACACAGACGTATGAAAGACATGGGTTTCTGCTGTCGCATTCCTTGTGTCAAGCCACTCTTGAACCACAGACAGCGTCAGAAGCGTCTAAAGAGAAACAGGACTGGACTGCTGGTGAGTGGTCCAAAGTCATGTTCTCTGATGAAAGTAAATTTTGCATTTCCTTTGGAAATCAAGGTCCCAGAGTCTGGAGGAAAAGAAGAGAGGCACTTCATCCACGTTGCTTGAAGTCCAGTGTAAAGTTTCCACAGTCAGTGATGGTTTGGGGTGCCATGTCATCTGCTGGTGTTGGTCCATTGTGTTTTCTGAGGTCCAGGGTCAACGCAGCCACATACCAGGAAGTTTTAGAGCACTTCATGCTTCCTGCAGCTGACCAACTTTTTGGAGATGCAGATTTCATTTTCCAACAGGACTTGGCACCTGCACACAGTGCCAAAGCTACCAGTACCTGGTTGAAGGACCATGGTATCCCTGTTCTTAATTGGCCAGCAAACTCTCCTGACCTTAACCCCATAGAAAATCTATGGGGTATTGTGAAGAAGAAGATGCAATACACCAGACCCAACAATTCAGAAGAGCTAAAAGCCACTATTAGAGCAACCTGGGCTATCATAACACCTGAGCAGTGCCACAGACTGATCGACTCCATGCCACGCCGCATTGCTGCAGTAATACAGGCCAAAGGAGGCCCAACTAAATACTGAGTGCTGTACATGCTCATACTTTTCATGTTCATACTTTTCAGTTGGCCAACATTTCTATAAATCCTTTGTTTTTATTGGTCTTCAGTAATATTCTAATTTTCTGATATGATGAATTTGAGATTTTCATTTGTTGTCATTTGTAATCATCACAATTAAACAAAATAAACATCTGAAATATATGAGTTTGTATGTAATGTATGAATATAATATACAAGTTTCACTTTTTAAATGGAATTACTGAAATCAATCTATTTTTTCATGATATTCTAATTTTATGACCAGCATCTGTAAATATATATATATCTCTTAATTAGCTTCTTTATTTTTTCACCTTTTTTGTAAACAGTTTAATTTGTTACTTGAATCGACTGTTTAATTGAGGTCTGAAGAAGTTTTCTCTAAGGGAGACCCTAAAGAAATAAGATGCCTTTTGTAGGGTTTTGTTTTCCCTAGAGATGTCCATTGAATGCAAACTCATAGCCATGTCTCCATGTGTAGAACACTACACAGTACCTTTAATTTGGTTCTAATAACAGCAGATTGTTTATTTTTTTGTCTACTAGTAAATACTTTAGTTTTTTTTTATTATGCTGATCATAAAGCAATGTTTACACTGTTATGTCATTGGCTGATCTTTAATAAATATTTTAACTAGTGTATCAGGCTAATTTTGAATTGATATTAGCTTGGTGCAACGTTAAGTAGCTTCTGATGTAGTTAAGCTACTTTTAACACATTAGTGTAACTTAGCTTGCTATAATTCTTTAGGTGGTAGCTTTGGTGTAGTGAAGCTTAATTTATTGTTGAGTAACTGATAGCTTAGATCACTACACTGGACAAGTAGCTTGCCCAACACTGCTGACATGATTGAACCCTGCTGCTGCTCATGTATCACAGGAAACTAAAGAGATCTGAGGTCTGTTTCATTCTCTACGTTTTTGTTGTTTCAGTAAGGAGAGCAGGATGAACGGGCAGTACCAGCAGGCTGTGGAAACCTTCAACAATGACAACAAGTAAGCTCAACACAAACGGACACCAAGCAGATAAGAATATCATTTATTGTCTAGTTTTTCTTCTGAGACTTTGCAGAATTTGTTTTAAAAAGGTTCTAGAAGCAGGAGTAGCATATTTTCGATACTCAAGAATACACCACGATTCGATTCGATTAATTGGTTCATTTTTTTTTTTTTTTTTTTTTTTTACACCTTACAGGCTAGACAATGTTTCAAATTTGAAATAAATCAATGAAAGCTGTAATATCATTATGCTTTTTTTTTTTTTGAGAAACTACAGAAAATAACAGAAGTAGAAAGTTTTACTCCACCTATTCCTATTAAAACCTCATTCACTGAAAAATAATAATACCCCTGCGTAATAGATTCTGAAAGGCCTTGCATCAAAAAATACTGCACAAAGTCAGTTCAATGAGTGCAATGCAATACCTCGGCTCCAGACGTCCCCGCCCCCCCCACAGACGCTCGGCTGCACCTCTCCCAAATTGTAGCTGACTGCAGACAGGAGGCCGGCTTGTTTTGTTTTTATGACCGAAATTGAGGAAAACAACTCGTGAAGTTTGACCAGCTAGAAGAGCGAGGTGCGCGAGAACGCTGGGACCCTTTTTCCACCTGGATCTCCGCTCTTTTGGTCCTCATGTCCCTCCGTCGTTGGGCTAAACTCGCCCCACTTCCTCGCCGCCTCGGCCGTATCTAGACCCACAGTGTGTAGCACAGACCACGCTTCAATATTCAGAATAATTTAAAAATGTCTGTGTCAAGCTTACTGCAACAAACTGCTGTAAGAGTATAACCAGGAAGCGAGGTAGGAGGGCAAAATAGGTTTAGCGCCACCGCAGCACGGGAGGGAGAATTACGCCCAGGAGCAAATGGATTAAAATTAGACCGGAGGAAAAAAAAAACATGAATCGATTATCTTGCGGATGTATCGATGCATCGGATCGTCCGCTGTCGGATCGACGCATCGATACAAAACGATTATTATTTACACCCCTAATAACTGGTGGACCTGGCAGCTATGATTTTTCAGAGGAGATACCAGAGTAGTGGCAGTTGGCCTGATTTCTCTGCTCTCCAAATAATTTTATGTTGTTCGATAAAAGCAATAACTGCTGCTTCTTCCAGCATCAATGGTAGAATGTTATTTCAGTAAGAGGAATGAAAGCTGATTTCCTGCATCAGTAATCCTCCTCACTATTTCACCCAAACAGCACAGCTCTGTCTCTCTTCACTAGAAGAAAATTCCTATGGCTTCATTACTGAAATCCACTAATTCAGATCTTCAAGATCAATACAAATTATTTTGACATCAGGCCAACAGTTGTTTTTCTCTTCCTGCATCCACCTCATGTGATCAGCAATGAACCAGTGATGCACAAAGGTTTTTCATCAGGAGATATTAGCTATCTGGATCTATATCGATCCAGTGGGTGGAGGATGATAAACAAAATCCTAAAATGAAATGGATTTGTCCAGCCTTGCTAATCACTTCCTGTTGTCTTTAGGGCTGTAAATCAAACCCATCATGGCGATTCGATTCAGTATCAATTTCTTGACCCAACGATTTGATTATTTTAGACACTCCAGAATCCGCCATGTCTTTTGTTCCTACTGTTTACGCTAGTGTGTGTGTGTATGCAAGTGGAAAGAGGGTAGTGGCTAACGGAGGCGAGGTCGGAGGGTCAAATAGTTTTAGCGCCTCCGCAGCACGGGAGTCAGAATTATGTCCAGGAGCAAATGGATTAAAAAAAAGACCGGAGAAAGAAAAAAAATGAATCGATACTCGGGTGGACGTATCGATGCATCGGATCATTGGCTGTTGGATCGATACAAAACAATTATTATTTACACCCCCCAGTTGTCTTAAACTTGTTAATTATTGCTCTAATTGCTCTAATATAGCTGACAGGATGAATAGATGACTGATGGGACATAAATTTGGAACAAAGTGATGATCTAAATTGTTAGTATTCTCTGGAACGTCTCCTCTAACAGAAGTCTGCATCCTTTACAATCCAAGGAGCCACATCTATCCTCAGTCCAGCTAAATCCCAATGGTATCGGGGGAACTGATGTTGCTCCAGCTTTTAGAAAACATCAGCTTCTGATTAACTAATATCTACAAAGAAGTCATTTCTGAAAATTACCATCCTTTTTTCAATTTAGGTTCCAAATTTTTCTTCAATTTAAATGTAGAAAAACACAGTTGAAAAAAAAGAAATCCTTTAGATTTTTCCGTTTTTCTTTCGGGGTTCAGAAAAGAGAAGTGGTCGACCTCAAAAAGCCATAAAACATCAATTTATTCTTTAATATATGCTTTGGAAAGATCAATTAAATTCTTTCATGACTGAACCTGTGTGTCATGACCTCGATTTACAGTTTAGATTGATGAGAAACTATTCATCAATTTGAAAACAAAATAAGAAACATGTTCGAAATGAGTTTCTGATCTTATTTAAAGATCCTAAATAATCTGCTAAAGATTAGCACACACACACACACGTAACATAATCAGTCTTAAGTCGCTTTTCATTCCATGAATTTATCCAGAGATTGAAACATATTTAAAGTAAGCATTGAACCACATTTTGACATCTTTCTCTGGTTGTCCCTCTCACTTACCAACTCCTTTCTCTCCGATCACTGTGGTTTCCACGGTAACCATTGAATAAAATCAATCAGCTGGCTCTTTAAGTACACTGTAGCGTTAATCTGGTGCTTTGCGTGGAACGTTTCTGGTTAAATGTGGGTTTGTCGAAGGTCAGCAAGGATTTATTAAGGAAAGTTGTCTGGTTTATGAGTGAGCATAGTTTTTTTTATAATTTCTTTTGCCATACATACAGTTTTACTACACAATGTTTTATAAGTCCGATCTGGCTGCCGAATCATGCAGACACCCACAATCTAAGATCTTCCCTCTGTCCGTTTGTCGTCTAAGGTACAGTTTGTTTGCCGTGGTGAACCACCAGGGGACACTAGAGAGCGGCCATTACACCACCTTCATCCGGCAGCATAAGGACCAGTGGTTCAAGTGCGACGACGCCATCATCACCAAGGCTAGCATCAAAGATGTCCTGGACAGTGAAGGGTAAGCAGGTCTCATGAAGAGCAGATGTAACCCTTAAACTGCTGGGATTGGTTATGATGCTGCATTGCTTCTTTCTCCTCAGGTACCTGTTGTTTTATCACAAACAGTTCCTGGAGTACGAGTAGGTTTCAGTTTCCAGGAGGAATCCAACAGGGAGGAGGAATTGGTTGGATGGAGAAAGAGGCAAGGAGATCATGAGGCTCACTGTAAACATGGAAGCTACTTTTCTAAACGCAGAGCCGGATCCACCGTCTGCCCTGCAGGACAAAACAGATTCAAATGGTCTGAAATAAAGACGAGCTGAAGGTTTCACTTGAGTTCAGGACACAAGGAGGGAAAAAAACTGACAGTCGGCTCATCCTTCATGTAATGGACAATAACCGTCTCCTATTGGTCCGTGGATGTAAAACTTCAGGAAGTTTTACTTCATCTTCATTTTAAATAACCCCACATCTGCCTCAACGCTCGCACAGCTGTATTCACATCCAGGGCCTTGTAGCTCTCTGCTTGCTGCACCTGCATGGTTTTCACCACCATCTTTCTGGACACAAGCACATACAGGGAGAAGGAAGAAGGTTTTATCGCTGATCGTTCAAGTTCTCCCCCTTAGAAAGATGACAATCTTTCATTTTTTGTAAAGAGAGATGATGAAAGCAGAAAATCATTGAGTTTGTTAATTATGATTGAAAACGAGTATTTGGTCAATAACAAAAGTTCAACTCAACACTTTGTAGCATAACTTTGATGAGGTCACCTTTTTTCTGTCATTCTTTAGCAGATTTCCACACTTTAGCTGGTGTTTTGCTCCATTGCTGCATCACGTTTTGGGGCTGTGGCTGGGCAACGTAGACTTAAACTCCATCAACAAATCTTAAATGGGGCTGACGTCTGGACCCTGAAAGGCTTTTATTGCTCCTTGGTCTGTTTGGGGCCACTGACCATCTTGTATCTTCAGTTCTGTCACTGATAGGAGGAGGTTATACCTTAAAATCTCACCACAAATGGCTGCATTTATGCTTCCTTTAACACCAATCACTCATTAAGTCAGAGTGGAAGAACAACTGCCCCAAAGCATGATGGTTCCGCCCCCATGCTTCTCCGTAGGTTTGGTGTTTTGGGAATCAACCTGGGATACTTCTCCCTTCAAACCTGAAAAGTTGAACTTGTGCCCATACCAAAGGGGCGGACCTGTTTGTTTTTGGTCCACTCTATAAAACCTCAAACTCAACACTATTTCTGACACTTTGAATTGAAAAAGCTTATTGGATGGGAAGAGAAATGTCCAGTGGATTGTTTTTTAACTTTTGTTGGGATGACTATGACCTGGATGGCTGAGAATCTTCACCAGCATTGTGCCAAAAGTTCTATTCTTGTTCCATCTTCTCTCTGGTGACGCCGTGGACATGTACAGGGGACACACCTGTCCCTCTGGTCGTAGTGTGTCACTTTGGCCCCAGCTCTCTGCAGCTCACTAGCCACATCCCTTCATGTCGCTCACCGTCCTTCTCACCATTTTATCCTCACAGGTTGAGATCATGGATGGAGGTTATTAATAGTCTTCCAGTTGCTCCTACAGTGCATATATTCCCACCGACCTGCTTCTTGTTGTAGATTCACTCTTCCCAGCCTGGTGCAGATCGATAGTTTTCCTTCTGGTGTCCTTCAGCAGCTCGCTGGTCTTTGAAATGAGCCTGGAGTTGCAGATGGGTTCCAGTTCAAACAGGAAGCATTAATACAGTAGAGGACAGAATGGCTTCTTAAAGAAAAAGTTCCAGTCTGTGAGGGCAAAACATCCAGCTTGTTGCTCGGTGACCAAATACTTATTTTCTACCATAATTAACAAACTAATTAAAAATTAGATTTCATGCATTTTTATCCCCTCATGTTGTCTCTCATAGTTGAAGTGAATCCATTTAAAGATAACAAACCTCTGTCATCTTTCCAAGTAGGAGAACTTGAACAACAGTCATTGACTAAATACTTTAAGCTCGAATGTTTTAGTCTAACATGCAAACACTTTTCTACAAGACCAAATATTTTCAGAGTGGAACTTGTCTCTTTATGCAGTTCTAGTTCAGAGAGCATCTGTTGGGAATAATGGAAGAATATCAGCTGACAGTATTCTAACGTTGTTCCGTTTATTATTGGTGAGATTATTTTAGTCAAAGTGATACTTTTTATTTAAAAAATAAATGTCAGCCTCTCTTTCAGCTTCCATGGTCTAATAGAGGAACAGAAAGACCCAGTCAGTCTATTTTTATACATCCTGCATCCAAATGATTGTTTATAATTTTGCGTAAAAAAAAAAAAAAACGTTTTTCGTCTCTTAAGTCACGCCGTCAATCATGTTTTTATACACTGTAGATAAAAAGATGCTTAGGATTTTTATGAAGCCTGCTGCTACTGTTCTTGTTTTACTTCCTGTATTTATCAGCATGTCCAGGTTAATTACTGCTAAAAGGGATTCCTCTTTTGCTGCGTTACCAAAATCTCACCACGAAAAACGGAGAATCATAAACTTTATGTAAACCTTTGAGTTCAGTTGACAAAAAAACAAATCCAGATTTGTTAAAACCACTGTTGGTACTTCTGGTTTTAATACTTTTTCTCCTTTTCGCCGGTTGGACAGCACTTCATTGTTTCCTGTAACATTTTGGAGCTTTGACCTCATCGTCATTTAGATCCTTTAGACTTTAGGCTCCTCCCCTATTCACCAGTTTCCTCAGCAAACCTACTTTCTTCTTCCAGGTTGAGGTCAGAGGGCTCAGATGTGTAGGAAAGGTGGATTCTTGTCTGGATAAACGGTTGATTTTAAACGTCTTTTTAAACTGGATCTCTTCTCTTTCCCAAACTGCTGATCAAACTGAATATATGCTGCAGCAGAGTTGATGCAGAGCTGGACACTTTAGATGTCTGCCATTCTAAAAGTTTTAAACATATTTATTGCTTTGCTTAGCTTTAAAGCCGCATAGCTGATTAAAAAAATAAGGTGACCTATTATATGTTAATAAAATAAATGCTTCCTCACCATGTTTAACAACAGCAGTCGGCTGCTAACGCAGACCTCAGGCCTTGTTTCCTTTGAAGGTCAGGTTCTGTTTTTAAATCATCTTCTATAGTTTAGATTCTGCTTTTCCACATATTTATCATCTTATTTTGGTTTTACAGCCAGGTGTCCAATGGTCACTGAGCTTATTTTCTCCTTTCCGTTAATTCTGTGGATCTTCTGAGCCTGAGTAGAAAATAGACCCTTGTTATATATTTACATCTCAGTGAAACAGGAAGTTATCAAACTTCTAGTGCTAGAAACCCGTCATCTTAAAAAGTATACGGAATAAAAATAAATTGTGCTATTTATGACTTTTTTTCAATACTGTAAATGTTCTCTTAAGTTTCTGTGAGATTATTTAACTGCAGTAAAAGATGAATTTATTCGAAGGGTTTTACTTCATCTCTAAAGGTTACGACAGTAAGATTTTTATTTTAGTAAAGGAATTTCTTCTTTTTTCTCCCCCCACATTGTCAGTATGTTGTCATGTTGCTGTTTCAGGTAAACAACCTGAACGAAACAAGGCGAAAAAAGGGGGAAGGCTGTTTGTGTAAAGGGTCAAAGGCTCAGTGCTGCAGTGTTAACCGTCCGCCGCATGTTGCTCTGATTGATCCATCTGTGTGTCTGAGGAAGAGCAAGAAAATCCAAACTTAGAGTAGATGTTTGTACAAAATGTGTTTCTGTGTGTAAAGAGACAAAAAAAAGACAAAGTGTGAGATCTCGTTTGTATGCACGTGTGTCGTGCGTATGCACTGTACGTTTGTGTACTGAATCAGTACTTGCAGTCAGCATGCTGTCTAAGCTGGTATCACAGTTTGATATGTTTATTTTTTTTTTCTGTTCACATGTTGATGACGTGTGTATAAGTGTATGTGTACAGTTGGTATGTATGAGACTAAAGGTGAAGCCTCAAAGCTGATGGAAGTCGTTTCTCTACACTGCTGGATCCGGCCGGAGGGAAGCTGATCCCGTAGAACTTGAGCTCGGCAGCCATTCCTCACACACACAAGTTACTGATGCATAACTGGACACATTGATGGAAACGCACTCAAATAAAGAAACGTATCGACAAAAAACCCCCAGAGTGCCTTCTTTTGTAGTAGAGATCAATCAGCTTAGATTATTGCTCAATCCAAGCCAGATTAGAGGAACCCCCAATCGTAGATATAATCAATAGTTTATGATTGATTTTATTATGTTGTTTTTATGTGTTTTTATATGTCTTACTGTACTGCTGCCTCTTGGCCAGGTCTTCCTCGAAAAAGAGATTTTATCTCAAGGGAATTCCTGGTAAAATAAAGGTAAAATAAAAAAAATTAAATAGGGACATGTTAGAAAATCAGGGACTCTCAGGACGTTACTCTAAAGCAGAGATTCTTACATTTTTCAGCCCCCTGACCCATGAAATGGTTACGGAGTTTTCTCCATTTCCAAGGGATACTTAAACATCTTTAAACACTTCCACACAAGTATTTATTAGTTTAATTTTCATGGTGGATCTCAAAGACCCCCAATGTGGGTCACGACCCTAACTGTGAGAATCGTCACACTAACAATTCTTCTTCTCACTGGAAGCAAAACGTTACCATATTTAAAATAAAAAAGCATTTCCAGAAATGCTTTTTTATTTTCAATTTTACATTTCAAATTGAATTTTGGTATGTATTTGCTGGGGAACATTTTGAAAAATAAATCTCAAATGTCTTTTTTATTTTTCATTTTAATTAAGTAAAAGGATGAACAGTGTTGAAGAAGAAAATGAAAATGCAAATATGATGATTGATTACTACTTTCATTCATGAGTCAAGTAATGCAGCCACATTCTTAAAATGAAAAAGCATTTCTGGAAATGCTTTTTCATTTTCAAATTTGACATTTCAAATTGAATTTTGGTATGTATTTGCTGGGGTACATTTTGAAAAATAAATCTCAAATGTCTTTTTTTATTTTAATTAAGTAAAAGGATGAGCGGTGTTAAAGAAGAAAATGAAAATGCAAACAGGATTATTGATTACTAATTTCATTTATGAGCCAAATAATGCAGCCACATTTTGAAAATGAAAAAGCATTTCTGGAAATGCTTTTTCATTTTAAATATGGTAACGATTTGCTTCCATACACGCCAACGGCAGACGGCGAAAAAACTTTTATAGAGAGCAGGGTGACTGATCATCTGCTGCCCCCTTGTGGCTAAACTCAACATCATAAGTAAGCGGAGTTAAAAGAGCTGTGCAGGTTGCTGCCCCTCAATTTGTAGTGTGTGAAAGTTAAATTAACCTGGTTACAAGAGTATTTCACTTTTTTTTTATTTGAGCATTTTATTTTTATAATATAATATTTCCATCTCAAATAAAAAAAAAAACACAAATGCCTGAAAGTTAGTAAGGAATTGAAATAAATACAAAATAAAATCATATTATAAACCTGTATTTATAAAACTGGAGCTCCTCTGAGTAACTCCTTTATAATTTTTTAACATTTAAACTTGATGAAAACAAATTGGGAACAGAATACAGAACAAAAAATATAGTCAGCCTGACTTAATCAGTTTTACTTTTTTTTTTTTTTATCAAGAAACCTGAGCTGCTCTGTGAAAACCAGCAGATACCAGAATGTTCTCTGCATCCATGCTGATCTGCTTGATTTTGATCAGTGGTGTCAAAGCTGGAGGTCAACTCAAAGAAAAAGTTATTTTTTGTTTGAAATTATTATTTTTTAGCTTGGTCCTTATAAATCAAACAGATCCCAGCCCTATTTTATTTTACTATCTAAGAAATAAAATATTTTCAAGTACTGTTTGCAATGCACTCGCAGACCCCACGGGTACGAGTACCCATGGTTGGGAATCACTGTGCTAAGGGACAAATCTTAACAGAACTTTTACACATTTGATCTAAATTAGGCAGAGAAATGGTTTACAGATTCCAGCGCTGCGGCTCTTTTCTGGAATTGTCACCAACAGGTAAAAAGAACAATGAAGAGCCAATAAAAACATTTTGTTTCCCCATCCTTATACGTTAGTCATCTGACTGGAAAATTTGCTATAGAGACCGTTTCAAAGTTTACATCGGTGTTAATCAGGAGAATATGGCTGCGTTCACACTGCAGGTCTAGATGCTGAATTCCAATTTTTTTTTTTTTTTTTGTAAAATCTGATCATTCAGACTAGTGCTTAAAGGCATACTATGCAACATTTTTCAGTTAATTAATGTGTTCCATAACGTTTTGGATGATTAAATGAGTCATTTCAGGTTGAACAAAGATATTCTCGGCCGCCCTGGTGGTCTGTGGGGGAAAAACTGCACTTGCGATTGCAGGAGCACCGACCCGCACCCAAAGGGTCAGAAGTCTCGCGAGAGTCAGTCTTGCTTTACGGCGAGAACTGCTACACGCCCCCAGTTAAAAGCATTCTCGTTGCTAGCACAGTGGCGATCTTTGTGCAGTTATGCTACGTTCACGCAGCAAAAGCAGCAAAATCGCGTCTGCTGCTTCATTTGCGGTGCAAAAGTGTGTCTGACGCGCGTTGGGCGGAGCTTCATTATCCTTTCTCTGCCTTGCAGCTATATTTGCTGTGATCAGTGGGAATAAAGTAGTTTTAATATGTGTTTAAGTGAGAAAATACACCTGAAAACGTAATCAGTGCCGTCAGTTCATTCAGATTATTATCCTGCCTTCAATATTTTTTCTGTCGGAGCCGCTCAGACCCCCACATACCAGCGGTGCGCCGACAGTAGGGATCCCTTCATCAGCAGCCTCTGGCCTGGTCGCCTCCTCGCGGTTCACCGCGGCAGCTGGTAGGTGTTTTTCATCTAAATAATCCAAACTGCATATTCTGCCGGCAGATTTCTGCATTTTAAGTTAATTTAGGCGTCAATAAACTGTTTAAGAGGAGTGATCATCAGCGCTGTGTCTCTCTCCCTGCGTCAGATGATTAAACGCACCCGACGCGCTGCTTCAGCTGCTCAGACGCGCTGCGCCTGCTGCTCAAAACGCGCCGCGGGACCTTTTGCTGCGCCTTGACGCGCGTCAACCATTGACTTTGCATGTAAACTTGCTGCTTCTGTCGCGCGAGCTGCTGTGTGAACGCAGCATTAGTCATTCGTTGCGTTTGCCTGTCTGCTAAGCTCAAAACAACCGCGCCTGGCTTGACGGAGAAACCAGGAGAACAGCTGTGCATATTTACGACAGTGCACTTTTACTTTCGCCCTCTGGGGGGAGCCTCGCTGGAAAATCAACACCGGTTGCATAGTGTACCTTTAAATGTGGCCACCATCAGACTGTGCAGGACAGTCCCACTGAAGGACCATGTGGAGCGCACATGTCCAAACATGGTAGAAGGACATTAGAACTCACGTGTCTCAAGTTTGACTTTTAGGCCTTTCCTCAGAAACACAACCACCAAAAGAATGGAAAGTATCAGCACTGTCTGGTTAGGGAAGTGATAACATATGTCTGCATCTCTGTGTCATTATAAGATCTCCACAGTATTACAATCAGATCATACAAGAGGAAGAAAGGTAATTATGCACCATTTGTTTTTGTGGAGTGGAGTCAGAGCCTCGATTATGATGTGAAAGTTGCATGAAATGAGACTGCAGATGTTTTAAAATGTTATCAGATTTAGCACCATATATCGAGGTTGAATGGATCAGATTGTTTTGGAGCAGCAAAGATCAGAATTGAGCCATTCTGACTGCCATGAAAAAGTACGAAAGTAACCTATGCAGTGGTGCCACCATGCCTACATTTTAAATGGATGTCTGCCAATAGGACTAGATCTCCGTTGTGTTCATTTTCAATCATCTTGTCGTCCATGCTACTATGCTAACGCCACCGCCACCAAGCTGCAATGATTTGCCGCGAATGAATACCGCCGAATCTGTAGATTCATCTTGTAGTGGTGCGTCAAATGCAACGTAGATTCCCATCCAATTAGATTGAATTTGGTATTGATGACGTGAAAAATAATAACGGTAACTCCATTGAAATGATTCAAAACTAAAGTAACGAGCCAGTTTATTAAAATGTAAGGAGTAGAAAGTACAGATATTTGTGCAAAAATGTAAGGAGTAGAAGTAAAAAGTCGGCATAAAAATAAGTAGTAAAGTAAAGTAAAAATATCAGAAAAATCTACTTGAGTACAGTAACGAAGTATTTTTTACTTCATTACTTCCCATCTCACACAATAAACCAAGATATGAGTATGTGCATACGTAAGTCTTTATGATTTCTACATGTCATGGTTTTGGTTTTGTTCAAGTTTTATCACTGAGTTTTCATTGGTCTTATTTTTCATTCTTGTCTTCTAGGTATTTTTGATTGTATTTGAGTTCTTAGATATTTCCTGTTTGCCCTTTTGTGTCAGTCTCCTTCTCCCTAGCTCCCTTCTTGCCTCTGTTCACACCTGCTCCCAATCTGCTAATTAGACTGGTCTTTGTTTCTCTCGCCCATATAATCAAGGGTTCTACAGCAGAGACGCTGTCCTCACGGCCGTCCTCCAGAGGTCCCCCTTCGTCGCCGTCTTCACGGCTGTCCTACTGTCACAATGGAGGTGGTTTGACAGGACCCAAATGCAGACAATAGCTTGAGGTGGTTAGTTAAATGTTTAATAATAAAAAGGGTAACAGAAGCAAAAATCCAAAAATGCTGAAAACTGGGATTACGTACTCACAACAAGAAGGGGACAAAGTATTGACAACAAACCAGCAAAGAGTGACTGAACAGCAGGGGAATAAATGGGAGAGAGGAACAAAAATCAGGCTTTCAAAGTTAGGAAAAAAACAAACCAATTGTTCAACACATGGTCAATTCAAAACCTTTGGAGAAATGTCCAAAAATGTAAGGAGACTCACTAATTGTTAAAAAAGATTTTGTTCTATTCAAGGTTGAATTGATAAATTGTACTGCACAGACGGCAAGTTCTGTGCTTTCCTAAGACATTATAATCATATTTATTATGTTGCTCTTCAACTATATTTTAAGCAAGGGTGTAGGTTTGATTTCAACTTAGCTAGGGACACTGTTGGTCTGATGTAATTGGTCCTATGCAAAAATATGCATGCTCGTTTTTTTTTAATGCTTGATATGAAAATCAGGGTGTATTTCATTTAAAGAGAAAAGCAGCATTTCTTGCTACATTTATACAAATTTTGTAAGCACTACACACACTAGATGCTGTTTATCAATGACTGACGTTTTACTGGCTCTGATGAATGAGGAAATAGGACTTTTTTCCACTTTGAAAAGGTTTGCATTTGAAATTACCTAAGACAGTAGGTAAATCTGTGCCTATTTAACAGAATATAGTCTAAATATGTCTGTTATATGTGGATTTATATTTTTTTTTTGAAGATATAGAATTGTGCAGAGGTAAACAGAGGTAAAACCCCACTCTTATTTTTTAAATGTTCTCTTTGTATCATTAAAACAAAACAAAATAATATATTCAAGGGATGCAAAATAAATGTATTGCATTTACATGAGCACTGGAAATAGAAGAGGAACTGACACTGAGCATTTAATATATTAACTTCGCTCTACAAGCTCTATATCTAGGCTGTAGTTACTCTGTTTAACCCATTTCATGTATTTTATTTATGGCTGAAACAATTCATTGGATTAATCAATTATTGAAATAATGTCAACAAATTTAATGATCGCTTGATCACAGAGCGACCAACTTAGAGCAAGAATTATACCAAAATTGTAAAAAAAATAAAAATAAACATTTTCCATTTTAGATAAAACATGTTTTCGTCTGTCAATATTCTCCATTCCAGAACTCCTCTACTGCTGTAACAACGCTGTATTGTAAATTATAAACATGGTATTCACATCTAATTGTCGGTAGGGACAGGTAGGTCCGTCAAAAGTTTTGGTAGGGACTTGTCCCTATGGTCCCTATGCAAACCTGCTCTCATGAATTTAAGTATCGTCATAGAGAAATTACTCAACCAAAATGTCAGAATCAGTTCTTTTGAGGTAAAACTGAAGTTTGTTTTATATGTCTGCTGCAAAGCAGCTACTTCTTTGCTTTAAAATATTACAGCTAAACTCAAAGTTCTGCATTTTATATTAAAAAAAAAACGTTCCTTTATCAGGGAACTTTGTTTTTTATTGGCTAACTCTGCCATCCAAGACTGAATTCCTCCTCATTTAGTTTAGCAGACAGACTTCATCCCACTGCTGCCTTCTGCAGAGCTGAGTTGCACTGGCTTCCCTTGGGCCACAGGGAGCCCCTGTTTTGGATGTGGGCTTTGTGAAGGATGCCCTGGTGGTAGGCGTGTGGTGCTTTCTGCAGCCCGTTGTTGTCCTGGCCAAGACCCCTCAGATCAGGGAAGCAGTGTACGCACACACAGGTCTCTGTTGGGTAGGAGTCCTCTGATGGCTCACGGTAGATGAGATGATTTGAGCTTGGTTGAAAATCTAGAAGAACAGAAATGATATTCCAGCAAAGGTAACTGCACTGATAAGGCCTGCTGGTTTTTCTGACACTGACCGTTGGGGCTTCTCCCAGCCTGACGTCCTGGGAAAGCAGACTCCTGTCCTGGCTGAACAGCATACTCCTGAATTTGGTCTCTGGTACTCATGTGATTGGAGTTTTTCTTTTTGGCCTTTCCTCTCCTCAGAAACACAACCAAGGCAAGACACAGACTGGAAAGTATCAGCACTGTGCACACAGCCAGGAGTGAGTACAGCAGGGTGGTGTGCTGCAGCAGTCCCACAGGTCGGCTGTTGCTTACACCGTGTTCATTAACGTTAAAGTGAAGCCCTTTGGTCGGCACAGGAAGTGACGGAGCTGAAAGAGGAAACAGAAGGAAGATTTTAAGATGCCTCTTAGTTTAGTCTTTAAAGTTTGCTATTGCCTGATTTTTTAAACTTATAGTTAGTTTTTAAAGCACATATAGAGCATTAAATGGCCAAGCTCCATCTGATATCAGAGATCTGATTGTTCCTTATGTTCCTAACAGAGCACTTCGCTCTCAATCTGCAGGTTTACTAGTGGTTCCTAGAATTTCTAAAAGTAGAATGGGAGGCAGATCTTTTAGTTATCAGGCTCCTCTCCTGTTGAACCAACTACCAGTTTTAGTCCGTGAGGCAGACACCCTGTCTACTTTTAAGGCTAGGATTAAAACTTTCCATTTTGATAAAGCTTATAGTTAGAGTGGCACAGATTATCCTGAGCATCTCTATAGTTATGCTGCTATAGGCTTAGACTTCTGGAGGACATAGGGCTCCCCATTTCATCATTCTGCTTCATTCTGTCTCTGTTCTACCACTCTGCAGAATCTGTTAGTTCAATCTCTAGCGTTCTGCTCTCTCTGCTTTTTCTCATAGTAGCTTTGCCTGTTCCTGTTTGGTTGTGACTCCATCCTGGAGAGAAATATCAGCTGTGCTGCTGCCATCAACACCTTTGTTTATAGATGTTGGCCTGTTTTCCAGTGTAGTTCTGTTTCTCTGACTGTGACAAACTGGATATGCTCTCTTCATCCTCTGACATTGGTGCTGCCTCAGAGCTCGTCTGCCTGGCTGTGTGTTTCCTGGACGGGGCCGCCTTTTACAGCTGCTTTTTGTATCTCTGCTTCTGTCTCCTTGAACCCCAGTCGGCCTCAGCAGATGGCCGCTCACACTGAGTCTGGTTCTGCTGGAGCTTTCTTCCTGTTAAAAGGGAGTTTTTCCTCTCCACTGTCGCTACAAGCATGCTTAGTGTAAGGGATTGTATTTGAGTCAATGAGTCAATGCAATCAACTGGTTTTTCTTAGATAGAAAACTGAATCAATTTGACTGTATGATCTGGTTGAACTCTAAAGTGCCTTGAGATGACATGTGTTGTGAATTGATGCTATATAAATAAACTGAATTGAATTTGACTAAAGTTCACAGCTGTTTCCTTTGCTTTAAATCTTTTCCACTGAGCTTCCTGCAATCCTTGTCTGCAGAGCTTAAACTGGAAGCCTGGCTTTTTAAATTTTATTTTATTACTTTCTTTACCATTCACAGCGTTGTACTTACTGGGACAGTGTGGGTTGCACTCAGCTGGATGTTTACCACAGATCTCTGCACACTTTATACATCTCCTGACCAGTCGGTCGTAGTAGTGACCAGGCTTAGCCGTACAGAGTGCAGCCTCTTAATGAAAGAAAAAAATGAAGCGTGAGAGAATTTCAAACATATTAGTATCCCTTAGATTTTAAATCTAGTGATATTAAAAACCATCAGTATTGTATTTCCCATGGATTTTATGTGGTAAACCAAAACAAAGTAGTGGATATCTATACAGTAGAGGCAAAACTATATTTTCAAAATGTCAGGAAATTATTCTGATCAATCTAAAACGATTAAATCCACTACATTACTGGAACTGTCTGTGTCTCAAGTGGATAAAAAGGGCTGAATCCTGAAGGAAACCCCATTAGAGGCTAGAAAAGAAAAGAAAAGAAAAGAGAGCTGGATGAATGTTTACCCCCATCTGATCACCAACTCTAAACAAAAAGCTAAAACAGCAAAAGAACCGAGCACATTTATATGTTCATTTAAGTCCAAAAATAAATCCCATGCAGAAATACATTTATATTTAAAGAGATCCTCCCACTGAGTTTGACTGAGTTCAGTCACACCCCCCAACGAGCTGTAACTCCATCATCAGTTTCGATCATGCATGACATACCTAAGATATTTAATTTCCTCAAGAAATGAAAACAAGTTAATGCAAAGTCCTTGTTAAGATAAAAAAAAAATTTCTCTATGCTATCACTTAAGAAGTTTTTACCCAACCAAAACAGGTCATTATTAGAAGGTATCTGTTCAGGTTTGGGTAGTGGCTATGCCTTTGAAATGAATGAAAGTGAACTCAAAGTCCTTGTAAGGACAGAGACACCTGTATGGGCTGTATGTGTGTGCGTGTGGACTCACTGCAGTAAACATCACATTTACTGACTCCAAGCGGCTTCTGACACTGCAGGCGGCAAGGCTGACAGGATCTGGTTAGGCCATCAAGATGCTCATCTTCTTTGCATCTTCGAACCATCATCCCCTAAAAAGCCTCACCCTAACAAATGCACAAACAGAGACAGGAACAGCAGACATGCTTGTAAGAAATGCAAGCAATTTTAAAATTCACAAACTTTTAAATATAACTGTCTTCAGTAACGGATTAGTTCTCTTATACGACATGGGATTTGATTTTTGAGTCTCCAACTGCCCTATAGATTTGATACCAGTATTCACATTATTCTTCTTTTATTTCTGTAATATAATCTCATGATAAATCAAACCTTCACTTTGACCACATTTGATAAACACAGCAGCATAATAATATAATTATATTCAACAAATATTCAGATAAAGTGAAGACAGGGCAGCCAACCATTAAGGTGAATTTTACAACATCTTCTAAAGAAAGTGTCTCTTGGCCACTAATCAATGCCGCAGAGGTTTGCCCTCTTCCTGTTAGCACAGAACTCCCAGAGCATGATGCTGCCACCGCCATGTGTCACTCAGAATGGTGCCTTCAAAGTGATCTGAAGTTTAAAGTTATTGCTACATAAAGTTTTTGTAAAATGCTTGGATCATTGATATTTTTGTTTTGAATATGAAAAAAAAAAAGTAATTCCAGGTGGTATAAATACTTTTAAAAGGAAGCTTTTAGGTAAACACCTCTATCTTGGCAAACATTTCAAGAAGTTCTGTCTTACAAGTGCAGTTAAAAAAAGGGACTTTTTGAGGGGCTGTTATTTGTTGTTTCTAAACCCTGGTCCAAATAAATAGGTTTTTAATAGATTTCCTGATTTATATTCATATTCTTGGTAGCTCTCTCCATTTAATGAACCATCTTTTAGTCTTCATCACTTTTAAGGATTGCCTTTAGACTTTTATAAGGATGTGTCGTATGTGACTTGGTAAGAGGTGAGAGGCATTTCATAGACATTTTTTCTCAGTTCCATCTAATGCCATAGGTATAAATAAAGTTGAAAAATAAAATAACTAAATAAGGAAACTATTGATCTTTTAGTAAGCCACATAAAACCATATATATGTAACCATGTAACCATATGTAAACCAATGTAATCCAATGCCATCAACAAGATGCCAGCATAATTCTGGCTTTATATTTAGTCACTCTAATTAAAACTGGTAAGTATACTTTGAAGGGGTATAGTAACGTTAAATGTCTGTCAAAACAGACCAAAAACCATCTGATCATGTTAAAATAAGGTAAATAACACCAAGCAACACTCCTATAGTGTTTTTAATCATCCCTTTTAATTCTAAACAGAATTCCAGCCCTGGGCCCTGTGAGCAGACATAAACAGACGTGTACGCCATCTGCTAGCTAGGGTTGTCAAAAGTATCGATACTCAAAAAAGTATCGATACTGAAACGTTGCATCCGGATACAATACTAATTTTCAAACGTATCTATACTGTGCCACCACTAGTGGCACCTAAACAGTCATTCATCTAAAGTGCAGAATAGAGGAAAATGCACTTTCTGAACACTGTGTGATTGAATAATTCTCCGCACTTTTCAGTTTCACACTTTTTTTGTAACAGGTGCAGCTGCTGAGAATTATTTTTGTTTCTTAGCCGGTTTGGCTAGGGTCATTGTTATGTGTGCAAAGCATAGCCAAGTAAGGAACACTTAATTTTAATTTTGTAAGTTTTTTATCAAGCTTGCTTAATTTTGTGCACAGCATACAACCTCAAAATATTGTTCTTATGGTTTATTGTATTTATTTATTTATTGTATTTTATTTTTAATGAAAATATTTCTGTTGAATTTTGGAGTCTTTGTTTTTATCCCTGTGGTATTGAAAATGGTATCGAGTATCGAATATTTTCCTTAGTATCGGTATCGAGTTGAAAAGTTTAGTATCGTGACAACCCTACTGCTAGCATTGCTGCAAAACTAACAGAAAGCCAGTTGGGGACAACAGATAAAAGTGATCAAATTTAGCCTGACTGAGAAAAAAAACGATTGAATGGAAAGCTACTGGGGGCTGCTCAGTGGGGCAGTGGGTAGCACTGCTGCCTTGCAGCAAGAAGGTTCTGGGGTCTTTCTGCATGGAGTTTGCATGTTCTCCCTGTGCATGTGTGGGTTCTCACCAGGTACTCTGGCTTCCTCCCACGGTCCAAAAACATGACTGTTAGGTTAATTGGCTTCCCTACACTCTCCTTAGGTTGCCTCTGTGTTGCTCTGCAGTGGACTGGCAACCTGTCCAGGGTGTACCCTGCCACTTGCCCGTAGACAGCTGGATATAGGCACCAGCACCCCTGGTGACCCAAAATGGATGGATGGATTGATGGATGGATGGATGAGAAATGCCCCATGTTAAAGCAATAGCCTGGTGTTTTGTTGATAACCAACCGATATTAATTAAATAAACCGATCTACAGCAAGTCTAAGTTCAGGTGAATCCTCCCCAGAGCCTTTTATCACAACATCAAGGAAAAAGAAAATTCTTGTTTTAAACAAATGCAAAGTGGGACACGGAATTAAGGTAGGAAATATTGAAATTAAATGAATATAGTCATCATCACTATCACTAGTATCACATCTAATGAGGATATTTGCCCCCACATTCATCAACTGTGTGGCGACACTTGAATTCCTCTGGAGCTTTAGCTCTGCTTCAGTTACCACCGGTCTTCATAATGTATTCTAATCCCATCCAAGTATTATTCCTCTTTTTTATTTAGTTCACAATGGATTTCTAACTTTCTTTTATTACTTTTAACAACTTCACTGGTGAGCGCAAATTTGCTTAGCCTCAGAAATAGTTGAATATCATACATCCGTTGTTATAGATATATTCTCCAACGGCCTTATTTACTAACAAATTCAGCGAAAATAAAAAAAAGACAAGCAAAACACAAAAAATAGAGTAGTAAGCATGGTAATCCTCCAGAAAAAAAACTTTGTATTTCACTGGAGTAAGCAGCTGGCATGTAGATTTAAAAATGTCATATAACTTGACTATGCCTGGGAGGGAGACCTATGCTTTAAAGAGAGATGATTTGAAATGGGTGAGATTCTAAGTGTTTAATATTAGGCATGTTTATTCCTTCCAAACTAGATTTTATGAGTGTTTAATTTTCAATTCAATTCAGTTTATTTATATAGCGCCATTTCACAACATGTCATCTTAAGGCACTTTACAGTTCACCAGATCATACAGTCAAATTGATTCAAAGTTTTCTGTCTAAGGAAAACCAGTTGATTGCATCGACTAATTGACTCAAAGGCAATCCCTCACACCAAGCATGCTTGTAGTGACAGTGGAGAGGAAAAACTCAATTTGAACAGGAAGAAACCTCCAGCAGAACCAGACTCAGTGTGAGCGGCCATCTGCTGAGGTCGACTGGGGTTTAAGGAGACAGAGCAGAGATACAGAAAGCAACAATAAAAGGCGGCCTCGTCCAGGAAACACGGGATCATTTGAATCTTAAGATCATTTGCCTGCTTTATTCACATTTCAAGATGTTGATTTTAAGCAAGTTCAAATAACTTGCCAGTAGCTGTTTTGCACTATTATTGCAACCCATTGCAGTAGAATAGATCCAGTGCATGATCACCATGCTTGGTCTTTACAGTTTTTATTTAATTTAATTTCAGTCATTTCTTTTGTTTAACAACATAAAAAAAAACCCACTAAGATCAATATCTCATTTGCAAAGGGAATCTAAGCTCATTGGAAGTTAAAGCTTTTTAAATTTTAACTAGACGAATATCTCATGACCAGCATCCTCTTAGTCCTACTTGTTGTTAAACACATCACAGTGATAATGATTTTCCAGCATTTTCTATGAACCTTGATGATTCTTCAGTCGTTTCTGTTTTTATAAACATTACTTTAATATTGGGTTAGTAATTTGGGTAAAATGGAGGTAAATTTGGCTCAAATACGAGTTTCAACAGGCCAACAATAACAATCAGACATCATAACTATGCTTGACTCATGTTGTGCTATCAGGATGTTCTCAACAAAGCCTCATCCAGACTGGATCTAGAGACTATCCTTAAAATTATGACTGGAGGCAGAAAACCAACCAAGTAAAGTAAATGCTGACCAGTCATTTGGGTTAAAATATACAGCTGCCAATTTTCAAGGAGATTGTTAACAGTTACAAAAATTTTCTACAATCTGGAACAACTATTCAATGTTTAGTTGATATCATTAATGAAAGTGGGTCTGGCTTTAGGTCAGATCATAATCATAGCTGGGATGGCATCAAATGATTTGATCATCTACAGCCAAAGTGTTCCTGTATGGAGCTTATGTGGAAGTTCAGCTGAAGAAACTGATTACTCGCCTTCATCCCACTATGAAACAACCAATCAGCTTTTCCTCCAGCCCCTCCTCCACCATCGTAGCTAAAGCTTCATCAGAGTGTCATTCCTCCCGGACTCCTATTGCGTTCCCTGTTTCATCTTAACGGTCTGGCAGAAGACCGCCATGTTGAGCCTGGTTCTGCCAGAGGTTTCTTCCAAAGGGGGAATTTTTCCTCTCCACTGTCGCTCCATGCTTGCTCATCATGGACAGGTTCTCTCAACCTGTGTTATCCAAACTGGACTTCCATCTTCCTGAGTGAAGCTCTAGTATTAGCTCACGCAATCCACTGGATCTCCCCATAAAGCTCAGCATACCGTCTGGCTAACCAGCAGTCTACAGACTGACCAGCTTCATCTATCTCCACTCCACCACCAGTTTCAGGCCAGGGGGGGAGAAACAGCCCCGTTCTTTACTCCTGTTCATGCATCTATCAAAATCCAGCGCTATGTTTCCTCCCGAGGTCTGAGCGCCAAAGACCGAGTAATTATATCAATCAATTTCTCCTAATTGTCTTTTCTCTCCCTGTGAGTTTTTCAGATTTCAGATTTTTTATGTGCCTGGGCAAATGTGTCTTGGTCAGTCCAACCACAGGCATACAATGTGACTTTCACCCCCTTTTTTTTCCTTTGAAGATGATATGTATCCAGAAGTCTTTATTAGTTGTTATTAATTGCCCTTGAGAACCTGTATTTGGACCTCCATGTTTTTAAGTCCTCCTGTTTTCCAAGTCACTGGTATTATTTTAGCCATTATAGCCATTTGAATGGCTATAATGGCTAAGTCTCAACTTTTTGACATAAAGTCGGTTCTTATTGTAGAAAGCTAAGATAATAAAGTTGTTATTTGTATCCAAAGTTTCAGGTTGTCTTGTCAAATCTTTAGTTTCTACCTCTTGCCTTGTTGATTACGTCTCCATTTTACAGAGAATTTAATTACATGGAACCTTCTGGGGAAAAAAAAGGTTGACTGAAAAACTAAAATAAAAACCTTTATGGTCAGAAATTTGGGCTAATATAAGAATGTTGAGGAGTTCTGATTATGTGTAAAAGTGTTAAACTGCTGTGGCAGAAGTTTTGATTATAGCATGAATGGAACTGTGGATAAGACCATCTTTCAACCACCCCTTGAAAAACAAGCTCACAGGACAATGTTTCTTATGAAATCTAACATTCCTGTTTTCACATTTCTACTAAGCATTTATAGATCATGTGTTGTATCTTTATTAAAGCTACAGTTTTAATTTAGGTACTCTTTTTCTCAATATAAAGTGGTTCTAATGCCAAAAGATGATCGAACACGTTTTGTGGTGTTTTAACAAATAGAAGAAAAAATGTTAACATCACAAATAATATCTTAACCCCTAGAAGCCTGAATTGATATACATGTACATATAAAAAGAGATTTTGTGCACGTTTTTCCCCTTCAATGAGATGCCAAATTAAAATGGTTAATGTTACTAAATAATTAGAAATGAAAGTGAAGTGTATTTTGTAACAGTAGTTATAACTACATAATAACATACACTGTGACCAGCACTGGGGAGACGCAAAAACGCTATGGCGGCTGTTTGCCTACACTGCAAAATGTTATGAAAATGAGTAAAAATGTCTTAAAATAAGTGTATTTACCCTTAATATGAGTAGGAAAACAATATGATCTGCCAGTGGAATTAGCATTTTTACCCTTAAAATAAGATAATTAGATATTGTGCACTTGAAATAAGAGACTGCAGTGCTTTTTTTTTATTTTAAATGTACATTGTCTTGTTCCAATGGCAAAGTGTCTCACCTACTTGCTCAATTAAAGAAAAAAATGCTCTTTTTTAAAAGAAAAATTGTTTTACTTAGATTTACATTTTTTGCAGTTTAATACAAGAGGTTTGTTGCTTATTAGCAACAACAGGCATCAAATCGTTAAAAATGTCCTTTCAGCACAAAATTGTTCCATTTAAGGTTTGACCAGTGTAAATATTTCATATGCAGCCATTTTCTTATGGCAAACTCTTTTAAAATTGAGACTTTTAATATTAACCTTTCAATAATTTTCATGCAATCAGATACTAACTTCATCACCATCAGCCACTGAAAGTGCACAGCAATAGTGTCTACAGTGCTCACTTTCTACACATGCAGTGAAGATGTCATTTTCTATTTTCCTACCTACCACTGAGATTCGAAGGGCAGTTATAGGCGCTGCCTTATCCTCTGGACCTTTGTGAAGCTTTAAAAACAAACATGGCAGTAGTCAAAGTGATTTCCTACACCATGAAAAAAGCTTCTTTATGATCATCCCAGCCTGGTCAGAGCTAAAGTCCCTTTAGGGCTTCCATCTTGTTACTGAACACATTTTTCTCTGCTCCAGTGAGCACTGGAGCAGCGGAGTGTTAAAAGCTCACTGATCTGGTGCACCCTCCCCTGCCTTAAAACTCCGAGCTGCAGGCCTGATTTATTCTTGAGTACATCGGTCACACCCCAGCAACCAGCAGCCTGCGTCTTTTTTTCTGATTTACCAAGAACCAAGCTGTTATTACTTTATACGATATTTTGATGGGTATTAATATCCAAACTGCAAAGAGATATATTAAATAAATTCTATAACTCTAAAATCTCCTAATCCTGTTTTTGTAGTATGTAATTAGAACCTCTTCATGTGTTTCTTAGCTCTTCTTTCTGTCTTTCTTTCTGTTCTTTTCATTAATTTAGCTACGAATGAAACAATAACTTATCAATCCAAACTTTCTATAATAGCATCCAGCTCAGTACACACCGGAAATTTTTACATGCTAATATTGTTTCCTTCTTTTTCTATTTCTGCTATAATGTGCAGAGAGATCTCTTACCTTATGAGACCAAGAGGCGAATTGGAGAATCTGTGTTTCAGATTAGCTGCGTGAAATTCAGTCCTCTTTTTCATCATAGATGCTAATTTGGATATGGCCATATTTGGTCTGGGACTTCCCCCTGGTGTGTTTGGAGCCCCCCCACCCACAAACACACCCCGAAATACTCAAACATTGTGGCCAGGCCACTATAAAGTCTGCATATTATTAGACGCAAGCACCTGAAACCATCTGTTTTAACTTTTTGCCACATTTTAAATAATAAAGAAATCAGATCTGCCTGAAAGTAAGTTTAAAGATTTAAAGATTAGCCATTCAAATACAAAGGACAACTAATTTTATGAGTTTAAACTTGACAAAAATAGGTAACGATACAGTTTGGCTGTGAAAAAAGGGTTAAGATAGATTAAGGTTAAGACAGAAAGTTTATTAGGAAATCTAAAGATTCAATGATTCAAAGCTTTGGACAAAAACAGGATGTGATTATAATTCAGTAAATGTTCAAATCGTTTATCATCATCTCCAAACAAACAATCAAAGCATTTCATTAATTGAAAAAAAAAATTGAAATTTAGCTTAATGTTGAATGTTCAAATAGTTCAATGTTGTGTTTTCATTGCATATAAAAAACAAAACAAAATATATCACATTCAGAGCCATCCTGTCAAAAAACCTTTATTGTTCTTTCCATAATGTTCTAGGGGGAGGAGCTAAAATCTCTAAGCCCGACCGCGTTACGTATCATAATACAGACTGCCACCATCAGGGTGAATACATGGGGTTCCTTAGTTTAAGTTAAAGCCTTTTTTTTTACACCAGTGATTCCTAAAATTAAAGGGGCAGTAGGAGATCTTGTCTGACGCATTTTGGCTTAAAGATCTCCCCACAGCCGCTTAGCAAGCAGTGAAATAGAAGGTCTGGAAGTGAAACTAAAATAAATGGTCCCCACTACAGTGTGAAATCAATGAATAATGTCCACCAATCACAAAATACAGTCCGTTGTACACGATTGGTTCCATGATAGGTCAATCATGGTCATCTGCTTGTACCTCCCCCCTATGTACCCTGACACATGAACGAATCGACCCCCAATGATCGTGCAGGACGCCATGGCTGGAAGCTAGCCACTGTTATGCTATATTCACATTTAAAGAAGGAAGAGCAGCAAAAATGTGTGTACAAGTTTAGTTCTGATTCGCAGCTGAAGCATCTTTTCTGCTCTAGCTGCAGGGTGGAGAAGTGGGTCTGATGAGTATTGGCCGGAGCTACCCTATCCTTTCTTTGCCTGTAACAATGGCAGCTATATTTGCTGTGATCAGTGGGTAAAAACAAGTTTCCAAACAAGTCCACCTGAAAACATGGTCAGTGCAGTCAGTTCATCCAGATGACCATCCTGCCTTCAAATATTATTTCTGTCGGAGCCACTCAGACCCCCGTACACCGGTGGTGCGCTGTCACTAGGAATCCCATTCGACAGCACCATATGATCCGGTCGCCTCTTCGTGGTTTGCCGCGACGGCTGGAAGGCGTTTTTCATGTATATGGTGAGCACTTTTGGGCAGTTTCTAACACTTTTTTGGTGGGGGGGACCGGGCAGGCGGGGGGAAGCCGGTCATTCCATCCCCCGCTGGCTCCCTCCCCTCGTCCGCCGGAGTTCCTGGAGCAGCACCGAGCTGACGGCTCCAAATTCCCGGACGATTTTGAAACCTGTTTCAGGCTCTGCATCATCAGTGCTGTGTCTGTCTCCCTGCCAGCTCCCAGATCAGCAGCTGCTCCTGCTGCTCAAAACGGGCTGCAGGACCTTTTGCTGTGCCATGATGTGCATCAAACATTGACTTTGCATATAAACTAGCTGCTTTTGCTGCCTCTTTTGCTTTAGGTGTGAACGTAGCATTATGTTGTTGTTAGCTCCTGTCACTTGTACTCGGTCTCGGCTTGTTTCGTTCTCAATCTCAGAAACGTCTGAACAACTTGACAGACAGCATGCTCGTTCATTTGTTTTTCAAGAGGTGGTCTGAAGGTAGAGGCATGGTTGTGTATGTTCAAAAATATAGCTTGCTGGAACCGTTTTTCCAGTATCTCCTACAGCACCTTTAAACATGAAACATTAACCAGGATCTGGTCTAAACTCAGCTGCCTTTCTAAACCAAATTTACAGAGAGGACCAGGCTGAGGTCCGTGTTTTTTCATGGAGGCACAGAGCAAAAGTTAGAAGAAATAAACAGGTCACGACTTCATGGTTTAATATACTGAGCGAAAAAGTTACTTGTGGTATCTCGTAGATCACTGATCTAGCAGATGAAAACTGTGATTCTCTCTGTATGTGGCTAAATCTGAAAGTGCGACACATTCACGTTTGAGTCATTGTTAAAGTAAAACAGTAAAGGTAAAAAAAAATCCAAATTGGTGCAATTGGTACATCATAAGATACTTTGGTAGTAGATTGTCCTTAGTATAGGGGTTATGACTAGGGCTGGGTAAAAAAATTTATTTAATCGATTTTGAATCGATTCCTTTACATTTTTGCAAAATCGATTTCTAGGAAATGAGATCGGTTAATTTTATAGTGATGCGCGTGACGTTCACATTCAAATGAGCAGGAAAGATGCTCTCAAGATGACTTCAAGCCAGACAGCTGCAAATATAGCAAATAGGTTGACTGAAAACATTAACAAATGGAGGCTGACCAGCAAACACCCTGTAGTTGTTGCAGACAATGCTGCACATATGGTTTGTACAGTGGAGATAATGCAGCTCATGCATGTCTGCAGTGTCTCCACTGTGTCACGTCTGCTCGCTCATGTGAGGCTTCACTTTTTCACTTTTCACAAACAAGTTTGCACTTTTGAGACAGTTTTGTACGCATCTCACGTTTAAACTGTCCGATTTACAAGTTTGCAGTTTGTGTTGAATATGACAGGAAAAAAATAAAATACATTAGTATTTTGATACACAGTTGAACCGCTTTCATTGTTGTAAAAACAGATCGAATCGAAATGAATCAATTTAGAACTGCATGAATCAAAATCGAATCGATTCAGGACTTTGGCGAAAATACCCAGCCCTAGTTATGACAGGGCTGAGTCCCTCTAAGTGGCAGTAATGAATGCAGGATAAGCCAATCAGACACAGATGCGGAATCATGGGGTCACTCTGCCATCAGCCTACTGCAACATGCAGAGAATATACAGACCTCACTGTCAGTAGTTCTTTTGTGTAGAAGGTGGCAGAGCATGGACAGCAAAGGCGAAGCTGAAAGCTGAGTGTTCAAAGAGAGAAAAAGGGTCCAAAGTAAAGGTCTGCAAATCTTAAGTCAGTTTCTATAGCATGGAACATGGAGTGAGAATGTGGATGTGGAGAAAAACAGATAAAATAAAGCATAACTGGGTGGGGGAAAAAAATTATTTACATAAACAATTTACATTCAATATTTATGAACTCTGAGGTAGACTGTGACTAATAAGCAAAGTATGCAGGGCCGGTGGGTGGAGCTGCTGATCCGTCTCTGATCTCCACATCAAGCTGTGCTGAAGGTGGGTCATGCAGAGGAACATCACTGAAAAGAAAACAATTTAAAAAGAAGATTAAAACAAAGAAAAATGATGACTTTGGAAGATCTCTGTCAGAGGAGGCAGATAATCAAACAGATGTTATAAACCAGGAGCAGAAACAGATACAATCCTGCACCTTTCCCTCAATAATAATGGCTATTTGGAATATGTGTGAAATCGTAAAGCAAAAACCAATCTCTTCAACTCCGCAATAAGTCTGTCGTGTTACATCTAGAGTAAAAGTAACAATATATTAGAAAGACCAGCAGACTGACATGCTGAAGGTGCAGTGATGGTCTGGGGTTGGGTAACTGATGAAACCACTGATTCTGCTCCCTACCAGAAAGTTCAATTCAATGTTTCTTGATTCTAATCGCAGTGATGATGTCTTCACTGCCTTGCTTGGTAAGGAAAATGACCCATTGCCTACCAGCAACTCAACCTCTACATATGTTAATAAATGTATTGCTCTGGCTACAACATCATTAATACTGACCATCTAGTGTGGATGATTTGAAGTGTTGCACAGCAGCGTGAGCCTCATCTGTCTGCAGTGTTGTAAACTCTCGATGGCAGAATCATGTTAAAGGTTTTAGTTGGTGAGCAGCTATTTTTTGTTATTGTTTTGCATCATGGATCAATTTTTTGCGTTTTTTTGTGTTATTAAAGATTTTCCATTAATCAGACTTTTATTTGTTTAAAAAATACAAACGAGAAGTTAAAAGGTTGGAGCTCTGCTGTGCAGTCAGTCTTTACCAATGGAACCAGCAGCATGACTCTTATCTGACAAGCACCAATGAACTTCTGAGCATTTCTGGAAAATGTGAGAAATACGTGTAGATGCATGAAAATGGACTTTCACAACGTCATTATGTAAAACTATTGGGTGATTTCGCAGCATCTGCTTTACTTTACTGTGCAAAAAGTTCGATTTTGAGTCAGTCATGTTTTTATTACTAGTTAATCAGGGTTTTTATGTTTTTGGTTTTTAGACTCCATAAATCTCACTTCATGAATCACACTTTTGAAACTAAAAACTGGATAATTCTTTGAAAATAGATGTCATTGTCAAACAGGTTGTACTTAAATAAATAAAGGTTTACTGTAGATAATGGAATGTGTAAAATCGAAAAGCACAAACCAATCCCTTAAACCCTGTGTAAATCAAATCCCTACATATATTTACATGTTAAATAAAAAACAATCAACACATCAAAATGCTGGGCTTTAAAGAGCAGCAGAGCCTTCACTCAGTGCTGGTTTCTGTCTTCTTTTGGTTGTTTTCCATCGCTTCCTTGTCTCTTGCTTCCCTCTAGTATTTTCCCTGACGTTTTAGGATCTTTTTTGGTTTTCAGTATTTTTGTATTCTTTCTGGATTTTTGCCCGTTAGTCCTTTTTAAATCAAACCCATGTCTGCCTCCTCTTCTCTGCGTTTGGGTCCTCAAAGCCTCCACCCAACCTAACACAGTAAACCTTACAGAT